ATGTAATAAAACAACATCGAAAGTGTAAAATATTATCTAAGCGCTTCACAAAGCCACGCGGGCGTAGGCGTCTATGCCATCGAATGAACATTTGTGGAGCTTACATTAGTGGCAGGATCCGGCCCCTTGCCAATGAGACTCCGCTCATCAAGCTCATAGTACTCCTTATTGTCTGTCTTGGAACGAGCCCCGCGGCTGCCACCCCAGCTTCCAGCACTCTTGTCCAGTGTGGAGTCCTTGTTTGTGCCGGAGAAGCTCATCTTGGAGGCAATGGTAGCCATGGCGTTGGGCCAGAGATGCTTGAAGAGGTGACGGATGGCTGGGAGGCTTGCGCATACCATGCCGAGTTCCGTTTCCCAGATGGACCAGATAGTGACTTCGACGTATTCCCCTGACATTTGTGTTAGCATGGTTGCATTGAAACTTGATCCTATTGACTTACAAGTTGGGTTAGTCGTCTTTCCCAAAGTGATCAGAAATGGTAGTCGAATGATACTGAACACCGTGACACTGTGGACGTTAGCTTGCATTCAACGATCCGGGGCCATCGAAACCTACACAATGCCTAGACTGAACATTACAAAGAGCTGAATCTTCTGCCGACCCTTGACCTGTAGCTTCCAAAGGTGATTGATCGGCAAGACCAGGATGACGATGTCACAAGCCATGTTGATTCCACCAAATGCATAAGTCTGCGCGTTGAGGTCGTTGCAGTGGCCTTTGTGCTCGGCATCCCAGCTTGTCCAATTGTAGGAAGCTGGAAGACATTGGAGTGCAGTGGTGATCATTGTAGCAGCACCACACAAGCAGACAAAGATGCCGATCGACACCGTCAACTTCTTGAATTCGGAAGTAGTGAAAATACCGCGGAGAAAGAAAAGAATTGAGATCTTGGTGCTATACAAGTGAACACTGTACATGATCTGATCTATCCAGAAGAGCTTCAGCAGTTCGTACAGGCGCTCGAACGGAGTGATGTCCCAGATGTTTAGCCCGAAGCCAAGATCTGCAAGTCTGCACGCGAGATAGATGTAAGGCACTGTAGCAAACTATGCCACTTTGTTAGCAAAGGAATTCGAAGATTGGGCTGGAACATACTCCTGCAATAAGAATCGCATAGTCGTCAGGGCCAAGCTTTCCAAAGATCTTTAACTTGGAGTATATTCTCAAGATTACACAAATCTCGGCGAGGATACATGCAACAAGTGCGTTGATCCTGAACTTCATCTGCTGGCTCTTGACAGGAACGCCGCAAGCCAGGCTCTGAACTCTCATCAATGCTATAGAAAAGGATTTGTCAGTGCTCATTCACTACTACCATGGCAGGTGACCTACTCAGAGAGTCTTTGACCGTGCAGTTCTTCAGAACGCAAGCCTGTGTCAAGCCTGTAAATGTCTGATCTGTGCAGAGACATGTAGTATTTGTCATTGAACATGGCGACTGTGGTATCGCTTGCTGGACACATTGTATCTGGTCTAGTTGTTAGTCAAAGCTGGATGGTGGGCGGTAGGCTGTTACTGACATCGCAGTCAGGGAGCTGAGCAGCTAGCTCAGTAAAGCTGGCCGCATTAGCGAGCCCGACCATGGCCGCCACGAAAAAAGAAAATGACAGAAGACGCATGGTTGCAGAGTCTGTGTTGAACGTAATCACGGTGCAGTATCAGAGCCAGCTCAGAAATCAACGTAAAAAGACATGAACAGCAACAGGTAAGATGTCTTTTATGTGTCTATCTATATCACAGTACGCTGGAATTACGACAGCGAAGCCCCTGAAGATTTTCAACTACCGGTAATACTAGTAAATCCCCAATATCTGGTGTCGATGGGTCGAGTGGATCACTTGAATTGCCACTGAAAAGCTTCGCCCGTTGAATGTTGCATTCCGGCAAATATTCCTTTGTTTTATTCATTCAAAAGTTCATCAAAATCAACATACATAACCTGACAGTGTTACGCAGTTCACTCCGGAACATATCAGCACTTCCGAAAAAAGAGAAATGAAGGGCTAACAAGCATTCGAAACCTCCGGCATACAGGACCCAATATCCCGACACTATGGTACTGTAGCATCCAAGAACTAACGGCTGAAGATCAACATCTCTGTTGCATTATGCACCCTTGTTTTGGCCTTGCTTCCTCTTTCCTGGCTCGCAGATAGGGATGAGATGATTAGATGACAGGCGTTGGATGCTTGTTCCCTGATTTTATGACCCCGGTCGTTTCCCGCTCCTACTACTACGTCAGATAACCAACGGTTGCGAATGCAACGTAAGACCCTTGTTAGGCGTTGGGTACACCATCCTTGAGTGATTAGCAAAGGCTATGGTCATCACCAACTGCCGCTTAGTTCAGGAATTGCTTCCCCGCCCGTTTGTCAGTCACTGCTGTGGAGACGCACCGGGATTCGTGAGCCCTGCAAGGATCAAACTCCCTGAACTTGACTCAAGCACCTGCAGATTTATTATTCTTTGGCCGGGGACTGCCTGTCGTGCTCAATTGTGCAGAACCTTGCGCGAAAATGCAACTCCATAGAGCCTTGGGTGATTCCAACTCTGTATGTGCCCACTCAAGAGAGAGAGATTCGCGACGATCTTTTGCGGTCTAGGGATGAAGTTTTCCATCAGAGCAACTTGGGGATTCGTAAGTGCAAGGGGAAAGAAAAACTTCGGTCCACCGGAACTTTGACAAACGCATCCGCGTCATCAAATTTGCAGGAACTTCCAAAGCTATGACCTTGCTTCTGCCGATCTGTACCTCGAAACGCCAAGTTCGTTCGTCCAAGTCTCCAAGATCAAGTACGAGATGGTAAATAACTTAGGACTGCCTACCCCTGTCTATCAAGTTAACCAGCCACAGCTCATGGTATTTCGAACTCATCTCGCTCCATTGGACGATCAACTCAGGAGAAGCTTTCGGTGTTCCCACCAGCTTGGTAGCATCCTATTGTGATGAGCAATGCAAAGCCCCTTAGTACTCCGGAAGGACGGCCTCTACTATAGTGCGAAGATCAAATCTCTTGATGCATCTGGTATATAAACATAACTTGAACCTCCTAGGCCATGACAAATGAGTCAACTCCCATTCGCATTCGCTCTTTAATCCCGACCTCGTTCATTCTTTTTGCAGATCATTCGCTCGTTTTACTCTAATTGTATTTGCTGAAGTTGATAATATGAAACCCTTTACTCTTGCGACTCTGGCTACGGCCTTGCTTTCCAACCAAGCGTCCGCTCTGCCTAAGCTGAAAGCCGACACGCCCATTCCTCTCAATGCTTTCAAGTTCGGTGCTCGTGGTGCCAAGAATCCTCATCTTGGTATTGATCCTGAGTTGATTCGCAAGTACGCCTCTCAGGCCCCTCCTAACCTGGGCAAGAGGGTTATCGACTTTGACCCCAAGGAGCAGCTCGTTGATGGTTAGTCTTCAAACGAGAATGTCACAGTATTCCAGCTCACAATTTTCCAGTTCACGGCGAGCACGAGTTCAACCCACCCGACTTTGAGGCTGGTGATATCCGAGGACTTTGCCCAGGATTGAACACTCTTGCTAACCATGGTTACCTTCCTCATAACGTAAGTTTCCACACTTATCTATAGACAGCAAGTTATTGATCCTTTGGTAGGGTGTTGCCACGTTCACTGAGTATGTCACTGCTGTTGGCAAGGTCTGGGGAATGGCCCCCGACATGTCATCTCTTCTCACCACCTTGGGTGTTGTTCTCGGCGGTAACCTCGTCGCTGTCTCTCAGGGAGGATGGTCCAAGTACATGAACAACAATCTCCTTGGTCTCTTCGGAACTCCCCGTGGTCTTGACGGTACTCACCCCTTCTTCGAGGTAGACGGCAGCCCTACTCGCGGTGATATCTACGACCCCATTGGCAACAACAACGACATGAACATGACCTACTTCATGGAGCTCTACAACCTACAGAAGGACGCCGAGAACCCCAACTATAGCATTGATGTTCTATACGAGCACAATAAGAACCGTTGGTACCAGACCATTGGTTTCAACCCCTACGCTTGGTTCGGCCCTGCTAGCGGCTGGCTTGTTCGTGCCAGCCCTTACTCTTTCACCGCCCGTCTCGTTGCCAACCGCTCCGCTGAGCACCCAGACGCTGGTATTCTCAACAAGGAATGCCTTAAGTCATTTTTCTCTGTTTATGGACCTGAGGAGAACATGACCTATGTCGTTGGCCACGAGCGTATCCCCGAGAACTTCTACCGCCGCCGCTACACTGACTATGGTATTGCTGCCAACGCTCTCGACATTGTTACTCACAGTCACCCTGAGGTTCTTAGGTAAGTCATCTCATGGTACGCTACTTGTGAGTCTCAACTAACATCTATCAGCATTGGCGGTAACACCAATGGTGTCAACACCTTTGTCGGAATCGACATCCACGACCTTGCTGGTGGTGTGCTTAACGGAAAGAACCTCCTCGAGGGCAACAACCTCGTCTGCTTTGCTCTCAACGCTATTAGGACCGTCTCTCCCAACGCCCTCTCATCTCTCTTCGCCACTTTGTCCACTGTAACTGATGTTCTCTTCGCTGCTCTGGAGCCCATCATGGGAGCCATGGACTGCCCAGTGTACAAGGACTTGAGTGTCAACGGAACAAACTGGCTCGACTACAACAAAAAGATGTATCCTGGGTTCAAGAAGGCTGGTGGCGGCTGGTAAAGCTGTGATGGTAGATCTGTAGCAAAGGGATGTATTGGATTCGGTATAGAAAGTTTGACTCTGTATATTATTAGATAATGCATATACTATAATCGATGCCTTCCAGGCAATCAAATACATCTTCCAAAATCCCCTTGTCACTCGCGTGCTTTCCGATCACTAGTTCCTACCGAATTGCTTGAACATGTGCTGTAGCTCGCATCAAAGCTTTCGATATTATTCACAGACCAATCGAATCGCCACTTCGAAAGCACCTCATGCTCGCGTCCAATTATAATACCTGATTATAGTACATGATGCCATCAAATGTCAGATGTTTATAGCCTTTCCCGAATATCACCGAGCACCTTGACCAGCCCTGGATGAAGCTGATCAATTGATGTGCACCCAAGCAGTCGCATATTCCTTTCAAGTTCATCTTTGTAAATTCGAATCGCTTTCTCTAGCCCTTTCTGTCCATAGGCAGCCATCGCGTAGAGAAATGGCCGACCAATGCCAACACCTCGAGCCCCAAGACACAAAGCCTTTAAAACATCGGAGCCACGACGAACGCCGCCGTCAATATACACCTCAATTTTGCTCTCAAGGCCTCGTTCTCTTAAGATAGGCATAGCCTCTGCAAGGACCTCAATTGGAGCCTCGGAATAATCAAGTTGTCGTCCACCATGGTTAGAGAGAATCACAGCCTGGACGCCATATTCTGCTGCCTTGATGATGTCTTCAACTCGTTGTACACCTTTGAGGACAATAGGCATGTTAGTGATGCATTGAAACCACGGAATATCATCCCAAGACAGAGTTGAGTTCATTATGAGAGACGGATCCAGCTCCGTTGCTGGTGCATCCTCAAATTCGTCGTCTTCAGATTCACTCTGTTGCGAACGCAGGACCTTTTCGCGGCTTCCAAGATGCGGATTATCGACAGTGATACATAAAGCCTTACAGCCTCGTGCCTCAGCCGCCTCGACAGCCTTCCGTGTCACATTTCGGTCCTTCTTGACATAAATCTGATACCATTGAGTCCGGTTCGGCTCCCTGGCATTCGTGATATCGTCGAGGGGACATGATGAGTATAGTGGTATCATTTGGATGATATCGTGTTTGTTGCTTGCTCTCGTCAACGTCACTTCGCCGTCTGGGTCTCCAATCTTGGCGTGTGCGGTGGCTGTTATGTAGATTGGAGCGGATACATGTGCTCCTAGCATAGTTGTGGAAATATCCACATGCTCAACGTTGACGAGAACCTTTGGCCGGAACCGTATGCGCTGGAATGCTGCGATATTCTCCTTGATGGTCTGTTGCTTATAAGCATCGTGCTAAGAATGATTCGAGCGAAGTGCCAGCTTACAAACTCGTCCTCGGCTCCAGTGGAATAGTAGTTCCAAGAAGATTTCTTCATTGCCTGTTGGGCTGCAGACTCGAAGTCTGATATGCCGACGCATTGTGATAGCCTTGGCTTACTTATCAGAGTCCCTTGACTTTGTTCCAGTTCTTTGGACTCGGTGGTGCCATTCGCGGACATGCCTGCTACGCTAGTATCGATATCACCCAGATGCTTGGATGGCTCCAGCCACTTATCGAGAACGTCATTCGAGTGGATCAGATCGAAGTCTACAGTAGAATCTTTGCCCTAAAATAGTTAATACGGGAGCTGTTTGAAGAGCAAGCAACACATACCGCATTTTTCAGGATCACCTTCTTTCCTCCAGGATGATCTATCGAAGAGTCAGCATGGGTGTAGAGATGCGTCATGAGCGTCATGCGTACTTGGAAGAAAGTCTGTAAGATCGTAGACCTTGTTCTGTAGCTTCATTAGTGGCTGCAGTGCTGATTGAGCGATTTACCTGCATGAATGATGAGCCAACAGGAGTTGGCGTTGTTGTGTTTGGCAACCTCTGCGGGATGCAATGCCATGATGTCGTCGCTGTCTAATTATTCTGAGCATTCACAAATTGACACTTTTCATTGAGTTTGTCATGCGGCTTGTTTGACAATAAATTTGTCAAGGTTAATCCTTAATCCCCATCATGTGCGAGTGGAGACAAGTGGTGCAATGACAGGGCGAGCTGTAGCAAAGTTTGCGCCTTGTGAAACGGCGAACAAAGGCAATGGGAGACACTTAGTAAACCTGTTTCTTTGATACCAAATTTGCGTGGAGGGAGAATTTGGGCAAATTGATCATCGCAAAAATTGAATTCCTCTTAGAATGAGCTGGTGTTTGGTCCCGACATCCAAAGAGGTTGTTTCGTGCCAAACGTCAGCAGGGAAAACTGCCACCTTCATCAAGGTGCCTTCAGAATCTCTCTAAGCTTTCCCCATCATAATCTTGGGTCTTGAATCCTGAGAACAGTTCAACACGTCGGTTAGGCTGGTAGTGGTTAAGGGTAGGATGGTCTCCATTGTCGCCGCGTCGTGCCGAGATACATAGTATAGACAAGTCAGACACCTCGTTTGACGTGGTCTGGACTTAAGAAAGCCTAAATGTATGCATAACCAACTGCTTTCGATTAGCAACGTGGAAATTAGGCCAAGCCGCCAAGCTTACATCTCATTCATCAGCGATTGAAACTATCGACGCGCTAGAGTAACAAAATGATAGCCTCAAATTAAGCGACCAGCTGAATGCCTTTTGGCAGCTGTCTTAAAAAGTGTCCGGGTCCTTCAAAATGTTGTTATTGCCGGAACCACCTTCCAACACACTCGTGGTGATATTCATCTCTCGAAATGCGGTTTCTCGCTTTTACTGGTGTTTGCCTGCCGCTCATTTCAGGCTCGCCGGTCGATATCTCTCTCCCTGAACTATCCCCTCGCCTTGTCACCACCACTGAGCAGCTCTCCTGTGGCGTGGTTGGTCACAAGCCAGACTCTATTCTTACCAGAAGTAGGAAATGTCGCTTGGTCGATTATCAGGAGCTTTGCTCTGCTATTACTGGCTGCAAGAGCTACGCTGAGAGCAGTGCCAAATGTCTTCTGTTCTCTTCCCCTGTCGCTGAAGGATTCCAACAAGACTCGACGTCTCCTTATACACTATATGACCTTGAATGTTCTATGCCCACGTCTTCAGCCACTGAAACTCCACCCGAAGCCACCAACAGCGCTACTACTCGGTTGTCCACCTCAGGCACGGAGGCCGCTGCAACTTCAAATGCGCAGCCCTCGTCAACAGCAGCTACCTTTACGACAGAACTCAGTACAGAATTAGCCTCTGCATCGACTTCTACCTTCAGTGAGCCAATCACCGCTACAACCACTGACCACACAACATATGCAGAGAGCGCGAGTGCTTCAGTGTCCAGCGATGTTACCTCAACGGCAATTGCTCTTGGCTCGAATACTGGAACAACCATTACGGGCGATGAAACAACTACGACTGCAGGCGGGACTACCACGGCTAGTTTAAGTACACCGACCGTGTATATCATCCGTCTGGTGAATCCCGACGAGTCCACCTTTGGCTTTGTGTCTTCTACCATAGACTTCAATCGTTTGTCTGGCCTTAGAGAGAAAGCATTGGAGATTCAGATATCTGCTCCCGAGCCAGATGCCACTTCTCACTTGGATATCGTCCATGCTGAGACATTCGGGGGCCTTACTCGCTTGTGTGCCGTTCAGAGTACCCATAACACAAATGCCGACTTGGGGTCTGACTCGTCGTTGTAAGTGAAGGACTATCTCCAGTCTGCTATCCAAAAGCTCACCAGATCATAAAACAGCTTCAATTACCTTTCTACATGTACTCCCAGTGAGTGAGATCCATAATCCCACTGCACAATGCACTGGATACTCTAGCCGGATCACTAACAGTAAAAGGCCCTCCCGGTAGTGTGCCAGCCTATATTTACCACGCTTGGTCTAACTGGGGTTCACTTCATGGATACACGTTGGCAGCTGAATCAGCTATTGTGAGTCAACACGAAGAACGAAGGCTAGCCAATACTAATGCTACCTCTCAGTGGACCGTTGATCCCGACACTCTGGAAGTCACTGCTTCCTGGATAAATACCGACGGATGTGAGTCAAAATTGTGGTGGAAGAGTGAGAATATTTACGTGCTGACGTTCCCCCTTTTAGCCGCTCCGCCTACTACTCTCTTTGTTCCTGAAACCTCCAACTGGATCGGTTGGACTGGTAGTCTGTCTGCACTGCAGGCTGCCTTTCCAAACCAGCCATATAAACGCATCAAGTTGGTTCTTGAGCCAATTCTGTAGGTGGCTTGAAGTTCGGCGCCGGACGTCCAACAAGAACGGCATTTGGCTATTGAACCGCGTATCAATTTAATTCATAAACGACGTAACCTTCTCTTTCGACCGGCCTTGAAGCGTGTACTTCCTTCTAGAGGGATGTGACATCTTTTCGGAAGCACCTTAGGACGGGCGCGGCGTGGCCGGAAGTTTGTCCAAACAACAAGATGCCTTCACCGATGGATCTTCCCGTAGGATCACTTTGCGCCTGGAATTAAATTTATTGTTGGCTCTAAAACTGAAGTAGAAATGAGAGGCAGAAAGATGTCGGGGACGGGTATCAGTTCGATATGCGGCTGTGACCTCAAGCTCTGGCAGCTCAAGTATTCTGTTCTTTTCACCTACCAGTCCTTAATGCGTCGTCGTTAGATCTGTCTGGAACTGGACCAATCTCGTGGAGACGATTAGGGATCGATTTTTTCTGAGCTTATCTTAGACCACGGAAAAGAACGATAGCAAAAGTCCCTCGATCTCCCCGGGCTAGCGCGATGGAGCGGGCACACGCACCAAATGGGGCGAAAATATCCTGTGTTCGACACTAGCAACGTTTGATCAACCATCTGCCTATCATGTCCACCAAAAACAACGGTTACACGGCATCTCCACGCTTGCGACACGATTAAGTTAAATGCCTCGTGGAGAACTCAATTGAACTCTTGCTCCAACATCTTTTTTCCCCTCACAAACAATATCCAAAGATGGCATCGCAAGCTGATCCCGCGACAACAGAGACCAGGATGTCTAAAGACCTGCATGATGAGACTGCTAAGCAAGATGTCAGCGCAGGTATTATAGTGCCTACGCTGGCAGAGGGCGACATGCCAGAGACAACAAAGAAGGAGATCTGGTCGTGGTACGCGTACTACATCGGTTCAAACGGACTCGCCTTGTTCAATTTTGGCCCGACTGCTTTCCAGAATCTGCTGTCGCAGGCGGCGCCCGAAGATACAGGGCTTCTACCATTTGCGGGTCGCGCACGAGACGTCAACAGCATTGTCCTTCTCGCCAATGGCATATCCTTCGCTATTCAGGCCGTTCTTTTTCTCATTATTGGAGCTTACGCAGATTTCGGAACTGGCCGACGATGGATTCTTCTGGTCTGGTCAATTATCGCCTATGCCATCGGCTTCGCCTGGTTGGGCGTCCACGATCCCAGCAAGTGGCAAACCGGTACAGCTCTTTACATCGTCGGCCTGATAGCATATCAGATGACCTTGACTTATTGGACCGCTGCGTTTCCCTCTCTTGCCAGAAATACTCCGCAGCTGAAAGAAGCTGCCCTTCAGTTCGAGGCTGGAGAAATCACCCAAAGCGAGATGGATCGCAAAGATGAGATGGAGAGGAGCAGGCTCAGCAACGTTGCCTTCTATATCCAGTCTGTTGGCGAAGTGGTAATCCTAGCCATCATCGTGGGCATCATGTTTGGTCTCAAAGTCGATAAGAGTGCCGAAAACAATAACTGGGGACTTTCGGTCCTAATCGCTTTTGCTACTGCATGCTGGCTTGTCCTCTCGATTCCCTGGTTCATATTCGAGAAGAAACGACCAGGAATGAAGGTACCGGATCACTTAAACATGATTACCGTCGGATTTTGGCAGCTCTGGGAGGCCCTCACTCAAATCTGGCAACTCAAGCAGAGCTTGATCTATCTTGTTGGATACTTCCTTCTGGGAGATTCTCTCAACACCACGGTCACTGTTATCGGCACACTTCAGAACCAGGTTGTTAGCTACGAGACTCTCACTTTGACTTACCTGCTCATCGTTGGTATCGTCGCTCAAGCTATCGGCATTGGTGCTTTTTGGCTCATCCAGAAACACTTCAACCTCAGTGTCAAGGCCATGTTCAACGCCGTCATGGTTTTTATCATCCTTCTAGATGGCTGGGGCATGATTGGCAACTGGACCGACAAGTTTGGTTTCAAGAACGTCTGGGAGATTTGGCTGTATCAGGCTTTCTATGGACTGTTCGTCTGTCCTTGGTACAGTTACTCACAGATCATGATCAGCTCCGTCACTCCCCGAGGACACGAATTTCTTTTCTTCTCCCTGTTCAACATCATCGGCAAATCGTCCAGCTTCATAGGGCCTTTCATCAGCAGTGCTATCATCGATGCTACTCCAGGCGGCACCAACAACAGTGCTCCCTTTTACTTCTTGTTTGCTTTGAGCTTGGTCAGTGCTATTGGAATCTGGTCTTTCCTCGATCTTGAGAAGAGTGCGCGAGAACAAGAGTTGTTCATCATTCAAGAGAAAATTCGGATGGGTGAGGAGTCAGAAGCAAGCAATATTGCGTAGATATTATTGGTTTTGTTCGTACCAGCTATAGTAAATTTCGTTTCCTCGTGGTGAAGATTATACTTGAGATTCTCATGTTCATGAACTGGGAACTAATAAAATATCATCTACGTTAATCGCTTGTCCAGTAGCAATAGACCTGTTAGCCGCAATGCCAGTAAGTATCGAAGCAGCACCATCAATATGGCTCGCCGCTCGCATGTACTCATCCGACACTGGTGTTCCAAACAAATCATTCAGCAAAACAGTATCTCCACCTCCATGAGCACCAACACCGTCTTCGACCTTGATCTCTCTTGGCTTCTCGAAGAGAGGTCGAAGCAGAATCCTGCGGCTTTCTAGAGATCCCTCATGTGCCTGGTCACCACCTGAGTTGACGTAGCTATTCTCTACGACCTCAACTTCAAGACGTCCGCCGGTTCCGTTAAAGCTAACACGGAAGCCTTCCCATGGTGCGTATGCTGTAAGTGAGTATGAGAGACTGGCTCCGTTGCGGTACTTGACGAGAACGTTCATCGTGTCTTCAATGCTAATACCATCACCAAAGACGCTCTGGTCGCGGTAGTAAGCATCCTCGTGCTCGGCATCCAGGTACATGGCCTTCAACTGGGGGTTCTCATCGAGATGAAGGGCAAATGGGTCGGTTTTGGCGACGTCGCTGCCATGGGCGCGAGTGTAGAACTTGGTCTCGCCACGCTTCTCCGCGTTCTCTCGGCCGTAAAAGGCGAGGTCGCCTGTAGCAAATACAGTCTGAGGCCTGGTTTGGAGCCAGAAGTTGACAAGGTCGAAGTGATGGGTTGACTTGTGCACCAGAAGACCGCCGCTATTGCGCTTGTCCCGGTGCCAACGGCGGAAGTAGTCGGCTCCGTGGCTGGTGTTCAGCATCCATTCTATAGTCGCGTCAGCTTCCATCATATTGACTATGCCCTGGCCATAGACTCACCAAAGTGGACGCTTGTAACTTTCCCAATGGCTCCAGATCTCAGCAACTCAAAGACTTTCGTATTGTGAGGCGCATATCTGTAGTTGAAAGTGACGCGAACTTTCTGGCCCGTTCTCTCGACTGCTGAGAAGATCTCCTTGCATCTAGGGGCATCAATCGTCATCGGCTTCTCAGTAATCACATTGCACCCTAGTTCGAGAGCTCTAACAATGTAGATGTTATGTGTACGATCCATAGTTGTAATGATGACTTCGTCGGGCTTGGACTCTTTGACCATCTGATCGAAATTGCCGGCGAGATACGTCGGAACCTCGCCATGACCGAGTGACTTCAGCTTGGAGTTCGCATAGTTCATGCGAGTCTGATTTGTGTCGCAAAGAGCTACGATGCATGATGTTTTGCTGTATTCTGTTGCGATGGCTGAGTAGAAGAAGCTGGAGCGGCCGCCGGTGCCAACCACGGCATATCGCTTTCGTGTTGCTTGAGATTCCGCCATGTTGATCTGATATTGAGGCGCAGTGAATTCTAGACCCCCAAAGTGATGAGAAGAGGCACGCGCGGTATTTATCAAGAATGATCAGGATTGGATGGCATGTTCACTTTGGGGGAGGGGGAACATTACTCGGGGTCTCTTCCCCCGAATTGTGGGGCCGTTTGCGGGGGTCATCATCAAGTGACGGTCATGATATTTGAAGGATGGCCCAATACCGCATAGTTATGATGGACCAGGCGATCCTTCTAACTCGTAGTAGAACATGTCGGTTAACTATAGGAACATCAGGTCCGGGTTCGCCCAAGGCTCAGAGAATGCGGCTTCCTGATGATTGAGTGACGAGATATGGGCGAGCCGCTTGACCTGTCCAGAAGCTTTACGATCCAGTTCATGAGCTACCTGGAGCAGAAAAAATGGCTCTTTCGATGCCTTGGCATTCATCGGATCATATTTGTTACCACTTCTCACGATCAAGCTCCAATCCGACACGACGGACGGCTGGTCGGGGAACTCGATGATGTTGACCAGCAAAACGATCAGTCCCGAAAGGTTGCAGCAAGCATGAAGCCTGATTGCCTTATCAGTTTATACGCATGTAACAATCGAAGTTTCACTCACCAGGTTGAATACTCTGTCTCTCTCCCAAATGCCGACAGTTCTAGGCCAAGCCTTGAAAGCTCAACGCAATCAGTCCATGCACTAGGCAATGAACTGATCTCTTTCTGGTTGATCCTACCATCGATGCCATCATCCCCAGTCGGAATCGCAGCGGGTGAGAGGTAACACCGTGCCCTATCGATCCACGTCTCGTCAAAAGCAAAGGTGCCATGGATCCTGAGAGGCATTCAAGGTATCGGTTATACATGTTCATCACAAAGTGAACTGAGACTGTCGAGAAGTCTTGGAAGAGCTTGTCTGATCTTAGGAGCTCTTGTGGCAACGTGCTGCGCCAGTTGGAGAGCAATTGTTCGATTCGAAGCTTGGTTTCTGCCCGTTTCTCTTCGGACAGTCGTTGAGCTGTCCTGCTGTAAAGAAAGCTGTGGACTTTGCCTTGAATTATTGCCAACTCAGACCGAGCACATAAGTAGTTGAACCTAACTCTTCCGGTGCATGACTCTAGTATTCCCATGCCATCGTCTCACACGGTTCCGGAAGTTCGAGATCGGTTTCGGCATCGAATTGGGTGTATGGTGATTTGGCGCGAAGGGCAAGATCCTTTCCTCGTGGGTTAGTTGATGTAGACAGCCAAGCTTTAGGTTTCAAGACCATACCTTGTCCAGAATGTAGGCTATCCAGAAAACTCTGTGTCGTTGTGCCGATTCATCCGGATCGTGGGAGGTTCTCGTGGAAGGCAGTCCCATGCTTTGCGCTGGACGAATGGCACTTCCGATGAGTACTATTGCCAGTTGTGGATTCGTTGTTCCCTGAAACAGTATGAACATGCCAAGCCGAATCTGTAAACCGAGAATATCACCACTCCAGGCCATCAACTCGGTCGTGACAGACTGAACGGTTCTCATACACTGAGCCAGTTTTGGCTCCTCGATCGGTACATCATCTACGATACGATAAGTCATAGCGAGGACGAGGTTGATAGCAGCCCAAGGAATCAACTCCTTTGTTCCAGTTTCTGAGTACCAGTCAACCGTCATCTTCATAAAACATCCTTTATCAAAAAGCGGCATGTAGCGGCCATAGCTTTCGAAGTGTCTCTCCAGTACGGCCGTGACTTCTTGAAGAGGTGGCAGCTCACGCTTTCCTGTTTGAGCCAGAACGGATCCCGTTGGGAACTGTGGTGAAATGCCAAGGCAAGGCAATGTCGTGGCTTCGTTCCACATGTCTGAGGCTTTGTATACCCGGATCTCTGGGAAGTTCTGGAAGTTCAAGGCGGTTACATCGTGAGGTGAGCCTTCGGCGGGTTTCTCGGCAGCTATTTGGTTCAGTCTTGCTTCGATGTGAGCCAAGCGTGACTCGATTGTGTCGTCCCTCAAGAATGACAGTATAGTTGTACGTTGGGCTCACAGAGCGTCCGCATACATACCTTGAAGGGGTCGAAGAAGAGCTGGCTCGGCTTGTCTCACTAGCAGGCGCTCTTCTTCTACTTGTAGTAACCGGGCTTGCGAATTCAGTGATGCTGTAATCCACGCCGTACAACTTGCAGTCTGAACAGGTTGGCTTGGCCAAGTCACATTTGATCTTTCTCGACACGCAAAGATCCCAAGCTAGGAGTTGTCAGCTTTGGGCTACTTGAGCGACGTCTCTCGTTATGTTACATACCCTTGCGCCTCCGCGCATGACTTGCAACCCTCATGCTTGATGACGGATAAGTGAAGACGTGCAGTGGTGTGAAGACGGAAATTAGGTTTCAGTCGATACGCCACTAACGAGTACTCTTAGTAACCTTACCAACTGTTCCTCTTCGGCTCTTTCAGCGCGGTGACTGTAGCTAGGTGACAATTTTAACGAAAGTAGAACGGGTCTATCTAACCGGCACAGAATTGAGTCAAGGGATGGGAATGTGCAGCAAGGGGCAACGCTTTCAACGTCAGTCAACCAACTGTCGTGTCTCCTGTTGAGATGTTTCGCCACAGCGCATCAAACCGGCACTATCAAAAGCAGTTAGCGTCACTTGCCCACGGAACTCCGCGGCCGAGATATTGATGAGCCGCCATCTACCGCGCGCATACCATCGCTTCTGAATGCTATGCAGACCGTTTCATACACTTGAACTGGGGATCACCGCTCTTCCATTATGCAGCTCACCGAAGGAAGATAGGCTGACAAATTAAGGTAAGCCACTCTCTCCATCCGAACAATTGTGCTGCTTCGCGGATACTTACTCGTGGAAACCTTTCAGAGAGATAGCAACGCCGACTCTAAAGCCTCCTCAATGTGAAGCCTCCTTACAAATGCCAGCCTCCATAGTTAAGCGCTATGCTGCAACGAAAGCCAAGGCCAGAAGCGCTTCCCGAGATGATATATAGTCCGAAGAAGCGACCGCTGTTGCTTCTCACTATCAAGTTTCACGACACCGTCACTACCTCCAGCTATAGTCAACTAGCACATCTTGGGATCTTGCGGCCATGGCGACTTCTTCGTTCCCTCGACGTCCTTCTTCAGCCTTCTATGATGTCGCCATCATAGGCGGCGCAACAAGTGGCTCAGCAATCGTCTGGTTTCTCGTGTCGAACCCTGACTTAAAGGGCAAAGTTCCCGTTGTCGAGAAAGACCCATCTCTTGCCTACTCTGCAACTCAGGCCAGCAATAACTGCATGCGTCGGCAATTTGCGACCGATATCAATGTCAAGATTGCCCAACACGCTGCCGAATTTGTCAAAGACTTTCGCAAGAACCTCAAGTGCGAGGATGACGACGGTATCCCGGATATCCCTGTCCGCAACTTCGGCTATCTGTATCTCGCGGATACTTGTGAGTTTGCTGCCGTTCTCGAGGAAGATCAAACGCTTCAGGCTAACTGCGGTGCTGGGACTAAGATGCTGTCGGCGGATGAGATAGCATCCAAGTATCCTTTCTTCGCTCTAGATGGCATCCAGGCAGGCAGTCTCAACACTGTTGACGAGGGTGCCTTTGACGCCCTTGGCATGGTCCATAACCTGCGCAAAAGAGCTCAGCAGCTTGGAGTCGATTACATCAACAATGAAGTTGTTGGGATGACTCGCGTCAACAACAAAGTCACTTCCATTACACTCAAGACTGGGGAAAACATCAGCGTTGGCAACGTTGTTAACGCCGCAGGAACCAGAGCTGCCGAGGTCTCGCGCTTTGCTGGTATAGATCTCCCGATTGAGGCTCGTCCCAGATACACATACATCTTCTCTGTAGATGAAGCTCTGTCTCAAGATCTCCCGCTCACCATTGATCCTACTGGTGTTCATATGCGATCATATGGAAAGAAGGATTATCTCGTCGGCTGTCCTCCGATCGGTCCTGATGATGCTGTCAACCGCGATGACTTCAGCTACGCGGAGGATGTATGGAACTTGAAGATGCTGCCTGTTCTCGAGAAGCGAGTTCCTCATTTTTCTACCGCAAAGATCACGCACTCGTGGATGGGCCATTACGAGTTCAACACGTTTGACCACAATGCCATCATTGGACCGCAAACTGAAGTCTCCAACCTGTTATTCTGCGTGGGCTTTTCTGGGCATGGAAGTCAACAAGCTCCTGCTTGTGGACGAGGTGTCGCAGAGCTCATCACATACGGAGAGTTTCGCACTCTGGATCTTTCGGCTTTGAGCTATGGACGAATTGCTCGCAACGAGCCTCTGATGGAACGAGACGTCATTTAGATCTTCAGAATAGTCAATCATGAGAACTCTTCATACTCCACTACCTGCCCGTTGCCTTCTTCAGCTCAATTTGTGAGATAATTACTGTGAGAAAGCTAATGAACTGCTTGAGCCACAAAATAACCGGCACAAACAAAATTCCAATATTGTTTGGTACCGTGTCGCAATATACTCTGAGTGATGTACTGTTTGTCGGCTGTAGTGCACGATCAGAGCTCGCGCAGCATGCATTCCCATCTCAAAGACCTGTGTTTCATTTCTCGAGCCTTAACATTGACATATTGGCTATTCCCGGTCCGTGGAATTCCCTGGTGTTCTAGACTTTACCCTGATTAAGGCAGGCCGATGTCGTCATTTGTGTTTGCGATAATAGCCGTCAAGATACGAAGTACGATAATAGCCGCAGCGTCTTTGTAATCCGATTTATTTCAGGGCGTCGGGGACACTTTCCAGTATGGGCAGCCCTGGAATACAGGACGTGCCCCGCCAAACTGCTCCTTCGACATGACGCGAGAATAGCCGTTTGTCGCAAGGGCTGCTTATGAAGCAATCCAGTTGCGATAAAACTTCTAGTTTCACATGCTGAACATTGTCGCAGGCAGTTAAATATGCAAACTTGTCCTCTCCAAAAGTGACAAACACCAAACATCAATCACAGGCTTCTACCTCGACAAACAAAAACGATGACCAAGATCTTCCTGTTGGTTCAACCCCGCACCCACTGTAACTTTAGCTGACCCGCTGGAAACAAAACAGTACCGGCGCTACAGGCTACATTGGCGGTGATGTCCTTCACACGCTGTTGAAGTCGCACCCCGAATACAAAGTTCGAGCCCTGGTTCGTGATGCTTCCAAGGGAGCGGCCATAACCAAGAGCTATAGCCAAGTGCAGCTCGTTACTGGCGGACTTGACGACGCCGATGTTATTGCACAGGAAGCCCAGGATGCTGACGTCGTGCTCCGTACGTTCCATCCTTGTCCCCAATGTCAAGGGATTGTACTGACTCAGTCTCCAGATCTCGCTGCCACCGGCCACTTGAAGAGTGTCCAGACTATCTACGAAACCCTCTCGAAAAGGCCTGATAGCGCGAGGCTCCCATACTACATCCAAATCTCAGGCGCCAGCGCATTGGCGGCTGGCGAGCTCGCTGACAAGTCGCGAGTCTTTGGCACAGGCAGTGATTTCATCTACAACGATCTCACTGGTATCGACTCAATCAAGTCGCTCATTAAGCAATACCCGAGCCGCGCAGTAGACAACTACATCTTCTCCGTTTCGGAGCAAAACTCGAATGTGAAGACAGCGCTTGTTGTTCCTCCCATTATTTACGGCCAAGGTCGTGGTCCCGGCAATCAGCGCAGCATGCAAATTCCCGGGCTCGCCAAAGCGACATTGGAGCGCAAGAAGGGTCTGCAGGTTGGCTCTGGTGAAAGTCGATGGGGGAACATTCACATCGCCGATTTGAGCCGCATCTTTCTCAGCTTGGTCGAGAAGGCGGTTGAGGGCAATCAAGATGAAAACATCTGGGGGGCTAATGGCCTCTTTTTCACTGGTGCTGGAGAATTGGTGGGTTTTGCATCCATCGTCAAAGTGAGCGACATTACATTTTGGTGCTGACAGATTGACACAGTCATTCGCCGAGATCTCACGTCGCATCGCAGTCGCTGCAAATGACTTCAATCTCATTCCAACCACAGAAGTCGACAATCTCGCCGCAAAGGAAATAGACGGCATCATTCCCCACGGGTCTGTCCTGTTGGGAACAAATGCGCGCGCCGGAGCTGATCGGGCTCGAAAGGTCCTCGGCTGGGAACCAGAGCATGAAAGCTTGGAAGAGCACATCCCAACCACAGTAATTCAGGAGGCCGAGGCACTTGGTATTAAGGGTAAGAATCCGAGATCCAAGCTTTGAATACAAATAATAATGTTGAGCCGAAATAGTCGAGCAATGGAGGCACTGAGCGCTATGACATGGAATGCTGCAATAGCGGGGTGAAGCATCGCTACGAGGTCGCAATGAAGTGAGCGCGCGGTTTGTGAGAGCGAGCGAATGAATATATTGAAGTTCCAATTTGATAACTCAGTGGCTCTCCTAGATGCCCTGGCATTCTTTTGGTATGTGAGGAAAAGCCAGAGCAACCTTGTGAATTGACTGAGCCATAGTAGTTCCAGGTGATTGCAACTGCACAAAGCAATACTCATAGGTATAGATCTAGCGTATGTAAATACTGTCAGACAGTAGAGATTAGTCACAGTATGATACTCTGAAGCCGTCTCTATTTGCGTCCGTCATTCTCGCCTCGTCGTCCGGGATTTCGTACCTCGACGCGACGCATCTAGGGTAAGCATTTTGACGCGTCGAGATGTAAACACCAAACTTGCTTTTTTGTTGCTACGAGTGACGTATCCCAGGCCAGGGCTCAAATTTAAGTTCCACTATCATAAAACGGCGAGCCCCTGAGAATCTAAGGCAGTGACGTAAGTTCGCGTTATCACCATCTCTCAATTCAATCCAAAATGCCCCCCAAAAGATCAGGCAACGGAACCAGGTGAGAGCTCTCAGGCTCCCAAGGGTTCGCGCAAGCGTCACATTCCTCGGGGCCCAAAGGGAGAGGCCATGATGCCCCAAATCATGCCTCGTGAGTGTGCAGAGTCCAAAGCCATAGAAGCGATTCCCATGCCTACACGGTGGATCGCTGGCATTGAAGCTACTCCTGGTCGCGAGATGACTCTGGGTAGTCGCAAGTGGTGGGACGATCACGGTCCTTGGCTCGATGCTCATAAGAAAGCTCTTAAGCTCTCTGCTTCAAGGTGGAAGATGAGAGATGAGGCTATGAAGCAAGATGATACTGTTCCTGATGACGAAGGCACCGATGATTGGGATTTCATTTGCGTGCCCATTCCTCGGATTGAACGTGGCAGTGATGACGACGACGATGACGAGGATGAGGATGAGGATGAGGATGAGGACGAGGAAGATGATGACGAGGAAGAAGGACAAGATAAGACTGGAAACAATGCTGAGGAGGATAAGGGTAAGAAGCCTTATGACAAGCTTGCATCACTTCACCCAGAGTGGCCTTGGTTCTTCACCATGCGCGCTGTTGATCGTCACATGTGGTGGGAGCAGGAATGTCTCAAGCGCAGCCCAGATGACTTTGACTTGCACATCTACAACGACTTTGGTCCCTACGGAGCACTTGAGGTATTGGAGAATATTGTGAGTACCTTTTATGTGCACGATCCGTTGAAGCTTGACTGACTGGTACAGATTGCCCAGTTCAACCTTGTCTTCAAGCCAAAGTCCACCTATCGCGATTTCTGGCCTGAAGTCGAAGGACTTGCCATGATTCTTCGCGGCGGCCTGCTCGAATACGCCAGTAAGTTCAGGTTCCATCCCATAGAAGGATTGTCTTTGCTGACACACCCAGTGATTGACGACGGGGCAAGAGCTCAAGTTACTTGCGAGGTTGTAGGCGCCCTCATCCTCGCTACCATCGAGGCCTTGAAGAAGCAAGACGTCTTCACGCCCGACTCAGAGATCCGCAACCTTGGCCTCGTTCTTTTCATGTTTATCCGATGGGGCCGCGAGCAGTCAGATTATGGTATCGACGAAGAGAACTGGTCTTGGATCTACAAGATCATTGACCTTGCCGAGGAAGCCGGTATCAGACTTACCGCACCGCATAACTTTGAGAAGGATTATGAGGATATCAAAGATCACCGAGATGAATGGGCTCAGCAAATGGGCAAGTGGAACAACGTGAAATGGAATTATAAAGTAAGCTTTCCCTCTCTTACCTTTGAGAATGACAAAATTGACTGGTTTCCAGCTCAGAGACTTCAAGGACGATAAGGGGTCTACCAAGCTCGGAGGGCACCAGTTTGATATTACCAGAATGAGCAAGGCTGAGAGAGATCAACATTCAATCAGGTAAGTACCCCACCGACAAAGTTATGCCCAGTTTGTTAACCCTTTGTGCAGTGGCGGAGGCGAATACTTTTTCATGTGATGATCTGTTTGTTGTGCAAACAAAGATATCCGGGGAAACCTGGGCATGGACCGGGGAAAAGCTTACGGATTTTTTTTGGTGAATGCATAGTAATTATCAGACTGGATGCGACCATTGTCCGTTGTGTAAGATTATTTGGATTTGAGAGGTATTTGTCTAAGCTCGTTTCTTGTTCAGCAACTCCCTGGCCATCTCGCATGATTTCGCAAGCTCGATGTTAGAAATCACGCCAATTCGCTCGTTGATCTCCTGCTCAATCTTGGGAATATCCTTTCCAACACCTTCCGCCCTCCACTCATACGCATTACCAACAAACCTACTGCTATCGACAAGCCATTGGCCCCTCTCTCTCCTCGACTCATCATACGCAGCAAATGCAGCCTCAATATCAGACAGATTTTGTACACGCTCATCGGCGAGAATCTCTGCCATAACTGCGCTATCTTCTATACAGAAACCAGCTCCGGCACCGTGGTGGGGACTTGTGGCGTGGGCAGCGTCGCCGAGGATAGCTATTCTGCCTTTATAAAATGATGGGACGGGGTTGTCACCAAGGTCGAAGATGGCCCACTGCGAATATCAGTATTTGATCGGCGTGGATGCTGAATGATGGACATACCACACTAAGAGTCTCTTCTGTTAGCTTCAAAAGGTTTGTCACGGTGCTGTTGTAACCCTTGAAGTCATCCAAAGCATCCTGACGGTGCGCTGTCTTGGTGAGCCTTGTAGGATCACTCCACTCATTCGGATCTGTGCGGAACGCGACAACGTTGAGCTTCTCGCCATGGTTGACTTGGAAGGTCAAGACATGGCCATCTTGCCCCATCTGAGTTGTCAATATCATGCTCGGTATCGCAGACGGGCCATCAACTTACGTGCATGCATGCATTTCGGGCTCTCTCCTCACCGACAGCCTCAATGGCCTTGTCCATGGGGATGAGACCACGATAAGCATACTTATGAGAGTAGCGAGGTCTTGCACATGGGTGATTCTCTCCAAAAAGGATCCTTCGGACGCGAGATCCGATGCCATCACAACCAATCAGAGCATCGGCAAACGCCGTTGTGCCATCGGAAAAGCTCATGCGAACCTTGCCATTGGGCTCCTCCACTGCATTATCAATGTGCTTGTTAAACTGCACCTTGTCTGAAGGCAGAAGGTGAATAAGCTCGTTGAGGAATTGAGCTCTGTGAACACCGTTCTGGCCGAGAGGAGTCTTGATGCTGAAAGCCACCTTGTCATCCTCGGTGGTGCCGTCTAGGAAGTCAAACCAGGTCTTGCGCTTAGACTCCCAGCCATTCCAGGTGCAGACTTTGAGAAAAGCATCGTGTACACCAGGATGGCACATCTTCATCGCTTGAACGGCATTGGGGGTGAATGAGACACCTGCGCCGATTTCATGGAAGTTATCGGCTCGCTCATAGAGCATAACAGGCACATTGCGATGGTGAAGGGCGATAGCCAGAGTCAGACCGGCAATGCCACCGCCGACAATGGCTATGTCGAATGGCTTCGTGGTGTTTGACGAGATAGCCATATTGATTAATAAAGGATGATTATAGGAAGAGATCTGATTGAAGCAATTGACACAAGGCCACGAGTAGTTGTTGGTCTTTTAATAATAAGGAGTGAAGACGTTTTTGCTCAGCCCGTAAAGCTAGCTGGTCCCCATTCTGCCGTCATAGACGCATCCGACTCTACCAGACCAAACCAACCAAGAAAAGGCAAAGAAGTTGGGGAACACCCGGCTTCCGATCCCCACTCGCTTCTTTCCGACGCTTTTGGAGTCTGAGCTCGGGGCTTCCTTTGCGGGGAAGATCTCCACGTTGCTTCCGCGGAGACTGACTCGGTAGTTTCTGAGTCGATCTTCTAGATCAAAATAAGCCTCATAGTTCTTGGATGCCGACTGAGTTTCAAGCTTGGGAACGGCACGTGGCCACTACCAGCTTCGGATGCTGGGTTTCATGAAGGGTTCTTGAGATATTTCCCATGTTTGACCTATCAGAGGAGGGTATTGTCATGTTCTAAAGGCGCCAAAGTCGAAGCTAAAGAATGGAAGCCACCTAAGCTCCGTTTACAGCCAACAATCAAGCTTCGAAGGCGCAGAAAAGAGCTGCAAAGAACATATCTAATACAGAAATGGTAGGATGCAGCAGATCTCAAACATCTAGAACCGGCATTCGAGCGACGCATACCCCACGGGGGAGGAAAGGGGTTAGCGATACCCCAAACATGCATTAGTTCGATAGCCGATGTGTATAAAAGCAGTCCTGATAACAACCTGGTTTACCCCAGATTCTACTCCATTATCTAAACTTTCTTACCGACATGTCTTCTAAGCCTACCATTGTATTTGCCCCAGGCGCCTGGCACTTGGCCTCTTGCTTTGACCCCGTTCGCGAGGCCCTTCACAGCCGGGGATGGACAACCGAAGCTGTTGAGTACCCATCTGTAGGAGCTGAGCCTCCCACCAAGGGTCTTGACGATGATGCCGATGCTGTACGAACTGTGCTCCAGCGTCTAGCCGATAAAGGAGAACAGATCGTTCTTGTTGTCCATTCATATGGTGGTTTGGTCGGTGCCAATGCGGTGAAGGGACTTGGATATCGTCAACGCAAGGAGCAAGGTCTTTCAGGTGGTGTCATCATGTTTGTGTACCTAGCGGCGTTCGTGACGCCGCTCGGCCTGAGCATTAAGCAAATGCTCGGCGGTCAATTCCTGCCCTGGATGAGCCCTAAGGTAAGCAATCCCAAGCATTCTCGCGACAGCAGAGACCATGCTAACCACTAACAGGGAGATTATGTGTACGCCGACACACCAGAGGAAATCTTCTACCATGACCTAAGTGGTGAAGCACTCGAAAGCGCCATGAAGACACTTAAGCACCAGTCAGGCCGTGTATTTACGGACACTGTCACATACGAGCCATGGCACGATATGGAGACCATGTACTTCTTCTGCGATGAGGACAAAGCGCTGTTCCCCGTAGTGCAAGAACAAATGGCAGGTATGCTGGGTCCGAATGCCGTGCGGTTTCACTCGAAAGCGTCGCACTCCGTCTTCCTGTCGAAGGTCGATGAAACAGTCAAGGGAGTTGAGTTAGCTGTCGAGGAGGGCAAGAAGAGAGCAACTTAGCTCGATTCTCATGTCTTTTAGGGCAGTATGCAGCATTTTGGAATTAGGATATCCTGTTAGCTTATGAAATCGAATTTGACATGTCCAGATCCTAATTTCCTGAGGTCACCAAGATCTTCACTCAGGTCAAGTATATGGAAACATATCGAAAGAATTTTCCCATAAGATAGCGCCTACCAAAATAAATGAGCCTGGCCACCATCAAACGAAGAATTGGTCATCAACAAATTACAAAACGATATTCCAACCTCAAAAAGTCCCAGGATGCTTGGCGCCTTTACCCTGTCTTTCCAAAAGGGCACAGCGGACAGTCAGTCAGGTTGAGTTGATCGCTGGCCAAGGCAAAGAGCTTCATGTCGGCATCGTGGAAAGAATTGAGACATTGAATATGAATCTGTGCAAATGATTGGGGGTAACAAACACTATTCTGTTGGTCATATTCGAGTTTGTCACCATCAGTCGCCTGCGAAATGAAATGCCTGAATTGCTAGAATGAAATCGTGGGTGTAACAGGGCTTTGACTCGGTGTAGATATACTCGCTCAAGGCTGGGAAGTCTTTAGCGCTCTACTCGAACCTGGATAAGGTCAACTAGTCCTCTTCAAGGTTCAACTTCTATGAATATGACAAGAGATTTCAACCTCCAAATCTTCAATACGCCTTATGAAAGGCAATTAACCATGTTTAAGGTCACATGTTACACGTGTTAAGACAAAAGGTTTGTGCCTCGAAATTGTCAATTCAAGTATCTGATTCTGGGCGAGGCTTTTATTCTCCATCCATGACATGATAGTCAACCCATCCTCCAAGAAGTGAATGCGAGCTGCTGCCTTACTTTATTTAGCAAGGTCGAGGTCGAGGCAGGCAAAAATCTGGCCAAGAAGTCTAACAGGGCTATGAAATATTTAGCGCCGATTGGGAATCAAGCAGATAGCGATTTACGTACCAAGTAGCGATGTCCGTAATTCCAACAAGGCTGTCGAGGCTGAGGTTGGGGATACAGCTGCGAACTGTGATGCCAGGAATCTGAAGAAGACACTCGGGGTCGAAAAGAGTTGGGATCTGTCGCTCCTGAACCTGAGGGGTAGCAGCCGCAACGGCAAGGGCGGGAAGAGCGAGGATGAGTGAGGCCTTCATTTTGATGGTTTGTTTTGGGGGATCTGAGAGATCTCGAGTTGAGTGATTGTTTGATTGTTGTGATGGAAGAGTGCGATTGTGAGTGCTGAGGATTGACTGTTGGGGAGCGACGAAGGGGGGCTTTTATAGATATCCAAGCCCTGGAAGAAGCAAGACAAGAGGTCCCTAAATCATGTCCCCTCCTTGCTCAGTGTCCAAAGTCTTTGCGAGTGTCTGGAAACCACAGGCATGAGAGGCTGGTCGAATTCCTCAGGCAGTCGTCATCTGGGGGAGTTGAAAGTCACGATGGGTACATTAGTTACCATAGGCTATCGGTAGTCACGACATGTCAAAGTCGTCTCACAGCTGTTCAAAGACGTTCCTATTTGCACCGGCTCAACGTCCGGGCGATTAAGTTTGTCTTACCTTGTTGGGCCGGAAGCATAATTGTCTGGTATGTGATATCTCAACTTGGCAACTTTCATGATAATTCTTGCTATTCTGAGACCTGCCGCTGCCATTTATGTCAGAGGCGTCTGTCAAGGCAACCACAACGGTTGATTTACTGGCGATCAGGGCGAAGGTTCGTTCTGAATGGACCGGATCTTTTCTTGTCTGCCCTTTGACTTGTACATTTTGGAGGCGGTGAGAAGAATTCGAGATGAAGGCAGGAAGTGAGATTTGAACAACCTTCTTTTTGACTCATATATGCATCTGCAATGGTGTCCAGCTGTATCTACAATCACATATCGTTTCCTTAGTTGCTTGGATACTGACGTGTTGCATGTCTTTTAACTGCAGGTGCTGCTGTAGCAGCAGTGTCCTGATAGAAAAACTGTCCTTTGACCAAGTGTTGTCTGCTGATTTAAGGTCCCAGCCACGAGCCTCAACTGCAAATAGCACATCTAGCTAACAACAGAACTTCATTGAATAACTTGGTCGTGTATGGTCAACCCCGCAAAACATTCTATCCGTGAGACAACAGTCTGCTCCGTTTTCTTCAGCCGCACGTCAGGCGGCAATTGCCGTTCCATTCTTGACCACCAGTGCATCAATCTAATGGACCAAGGGCCAACGCTCTGTCTCATGTCGAACGTTCCGCGCCACTGACTTCTTGGGTCTGATTGGTAGTGCAATGACGATGATCTGCAAACGGTGGCTTATTCCCGAAATATGAGGATCGACAGGCTGCTGATCTCTGTCGACTCGCATACGTGATTAGGTGGAATACGAAAATCCTTCAGCGGGGCACTCATCATCCCTTCATTGTAACAGGGCGCGACATCTCTCCCTTCAATGCTTTAGTCTCATGAAGTCGAATGCAAGCCACCATCTTATCACATTAAGCATCCACCGGGGAGACATCCGAGTCACGTCAGATAATCTTGACATCTGTCATCTCCGCAATCAAAATATGCAAGTCGTCCAAATAAGAAGAGGCGGGAGCTGTTGTTACAGCTTGCGGCGTCTCTTGGCTCACAAAACCGGAATGGAGCAGCGTATGGGCCCCCGATGTCTCGGAACTGCGAACATCAGTGGTGCGGATGTCGGTCACGCGGAGCTCCCTCAGCGGTAATCCGAATCTCAGCTTGGCACTGACCAAATGCGTAAGGCGGGCTGTCAGTAACATAACCTATCGGGATCTAGATCGAGCGGCCCGTTGCGAGCGGAAGTTTACTTCAGAAGCTAATATTAGGGGCTGGAGGCAAAGTTGGTCGCGGCTGGCAAAAAGCGTATTCTGCACGAATAGTTTCCCGAGTTTTCAGCCAAGTTCTGAATTGAGTACTTTAGTTCCATAGAATTACTTGAATTATGAGTCTTCTCATGTAATATGCCTCAGACCAACAGGTCTGGACTTGGGCGCAGTGGGGGCATGTTTTCAGCTCCGGCTATCAACCCATGATGCCAGCCAATAGCTCTTCCCTCTCTGCTGGTCATTTGATGAAGCGGCATGATGACCCCGTCAGGGTCTTTGCTATTATGTCACGATACAGTAATTGTGACTGGGAAACCTCTGCCGTCATATCCGCCAATGTCTCTGCATGAGTTGGTTTGTCGTGAGCATGCTGCATGGCCGAAGAATGTGACAGCTGACAAGTGGCAGCAAAACAGCTAGCTTTAACTTTAACTCTGAAAAACCTCCGACGAGATGAGAGTGGTCGGATGTGATAGGTGATATCCACGAGAGACATACGGAACTCTACATCGATCGCCTACGCCCTTTGTGGATCTATCGTTTTGATTCACGAAAATTAACGAGCATGGAGCTGAGGATAGGTTCATGACAGATTGCAATTAGTCGATCGATCGATTGATCAATCGATCCCTTGAAGGCGTGTTAGTCTTGACGATCTCGGATGATGTACACTCGCCCTTGGCATATTGGGGTTGGGACAGCTGATCAACATCATACAGTTGGGGATAGTCTGTGACACGGGCTTGATGTGCTCAAGTACTGGAAGTACTCAACAAAATTACTCAAACTAATCTCTTGTTGCTGAGGTCGTAGCTGCTGTTCGTTGGGCATCGCCGATCATCTTAAAGCAGATACAACGCTGGAGTTCGTGGCGTGCCATCGAGGGATGGAGGCCAAACCTCGCACCTAACCTCGTGGTAAGAAGACAGATCAGGCTCAACAGACAGTTCTGTTTACCTAGCTGTTAGATAATTAAATGAATGTATCTAGTATTCGGGGTGAGCCATGCTGGAATGGTACGGAGGAGATGTTAAAGGGGTTTGGTGTTTGATTTGATGGTTCCACTCCGTGTAAGACGGAGCTGAAGGTCAAAGCCCGAGGGAATATTTTTGGTCTAGCTACCCTGCACCCATGCATTTTCAATAAGCCACTTATTCACACGTAGGGCTGCTCCGAAATTGCCAATGACGGTGGCCACTATACCATGGCGCGGATCCGCGTATTAAATCGCATTGCGCACGTCTCACCAACTCAAAATACTCGTATGCTGCGCAGTATTAATATTTAATCTTGGTAAGCCAGCTCATCAATGTCGGCACATAAATCCGAGAGAATATGCATATCAACGGGCTGTTGCGTTACCCCAATACGGGTTCTGTGTTCCTTACAACGTCAGATAAGGAGGAATACAGGCTATACAGGTGTTGCATGGGCATGGCAATAGTGCAGCTGCACAAACCACGTACGGGGCTTGATAATAAGGTGTCACACGGAGTTAAAGAGTTGTTGTCCGTTGGGAATTGTGCAACACGTAATTATGTCAGCGGCATGCCTTGTGCGATGAATGCAAGGCAATATTCGCCATTTTTATCACCAGGTTACCAATAATTGAGCAGCTGAGATCGGTCTGTTGGTGATCAAAGGCGACGGGAGTCATCTGCTTCGCCAACAACAAAGAAAATGACGTAAATGAATTCAGCGAGGATCTCACGTAATCGCAGATTGATTGATTGACTGACTGATGAATCAATGTCTCGCTCGGCGAAAAAAAGTGCGCAACGCCGACCGGCTTATCTAGCTTATGCGAAGATCCACGAAAAGAGCGAATCCTCCCAGTCACATTTTGAGGAGGAAGTGGGCATCTTTTGTAATCACAGTTATCTTAGCGCCAAAGTCGGCGTGTCGGCCACGTCGCGACGCGAGCTGGCTCCGGTTTTTAGCACCTAATGATCGCCCTGACCCTTGCGCGAGGCTCCTGTAGGGTTTAGCGTGTGATTGACTCAGGCCTCGCTGCTCGGACTTGTCTAGATTTCCGACCTACGACGGAGGAACTCAAGAGTCCAGAATATGCGGCCATAGTAATAACATGGCACCATCCATCAGATGGACCTGGCTATTTAGATATGCAGGAGTCGCACGATTGTTTTATTTTCGGATCTGTTAATTAATTACTTGGATAGATAAACAGACAACTCCCGGTCTCCATTAATCGTGGCCTGACCTTTTAAAACCCTTCAGCCCCTGCATCTCAACAACCATCACCTACCCCTTTCGTTCAGTCCAATCTTCAATATGGCAGTCGATCTAGAACAACAATCATCCTCCCCTGCTCCCACGTTACACGACGAGCCGGCCGTCATGGAGGACACACAACGACATGGCATCAACTCACCAACATGGCACGGCCGAAGAGGTCTCGTCGTCAAGATCCTCACAGGAATCATGGTCGCCATTCTCATCGTGTTCCTCGCCGACCTTTCATACGTTTTCGGTTCCACATTCGAGGTCGGTAATCGAGTATCGGGCCTCAAGATTCTCGTCGTCGATTACGATGGCGGTGCTGTCGGAGAGTCTGTCGCCAGCGCATACAAGAACTTCCAGGACAAGACTTTCCCTACCCTTGAGTTTCGATCAGCCGATGACTACCCCGAGACAATGGATGTCAAGCATGGCGTCTGCAACGCCGATTATTGGGGTGCTATCTACATCAACAAGGGCTCTTCTGACAAGCTTGCTGCTGCTTATGATGGCGGTTCTGCGGCTGAGAACTACAACCCGGCCGATAGCATCACTTACATCTACAATAGCGCCCGATATCCTACTATCGCTTCTGGATACTTGGTACCTAACTTGCAAAAGATCATTGGGGCTGCTCGAGGTAGCTACTACCAGTCCCAACAGGGTCGATCCGCCCTACGAAGTGTCAATAGCAGTGACCCAGCTGCCGTCGAGGCATATCTCAACCCTATCCAAGGTACCGCCGACATCATCATGCCCACCAACCAAGGAAGCCGAAACCTCTACAACACTATCAACATTGTAATGGCTATCCTTGGTCAGTTCTTCTACGTCCTTGCCATGAACGGCATCTACGACAAGTTCGGCCTTCACAAGAACATGCGCATCCGCGACCTCTTCATCATGCGTACCATCAATGGCACAATATTTTCTGCACTCTATGCCTTGATCGTCACGGGCTATATCTGGGCCTTCCGTGAAGACTGGGCTGTTACTGGTGGACAATTTGCCCTATCCTGGTTGACCTTTTGGCTTTTCATGGATGTCAACTTCCAGGTACTAGAAACTCTGATTGGAAGCTTCATCCCCATGGCTCTCACGCCTTTCTTTCTTCTTACTTGGTTCATGATGAATGTCGGCTCTGTCGTGTTCCCCTTTGAGCTTACTGCTGGATTCTACCGCATTGGCTACATTTTCCCTGCTCATTCGTTATGGATTATTCTCATCCAGGTCTGGTCTGGATGTGGTAACTCCCTTCACATTGGACTTCCTATTCTCTTTGCTTGGTGGGTGGTTGGCCATGTGACAGCGTTCTTCGGTATCCGAAAGAGATGCTTGGATCAGTTGGAGAATCTCAACGTTGCTGAAGGCAAGCAACAATAAAGGAATCACTTGGTTGAGTGAGAGGACTTTTACTAAAAGTGTATTTGTACGATTGGATGACATAGAATTTGGAACATACCCCTCGATAGACTACAAACATAATAATTATTTCACACGATTTAGACAGTCACTTTTGTCTCGAGTATTTTAAGTGCATGACGACTCCCATAGTTGCGCTTAATAAACGAGTATCTAACTAAGTCACAAGACGAACTTTGAGCTTGTCGCCCTTGACAATCTCCTCTTCCTTCGTCATCAGTTCAGGAAGATCCCATGTGAGGTTGATGTAACGCCCAGCCAGCCAAGGCCGTCTTTCCGATGCCAAATAAACCAAAGAGTTGGCGCAAAGAGCAGGAGTGTCCACAAAAGCTTGTTCCTGTTAGCATATGACACTGGTGACTCGAATCAACAGACTGACCGGCTCGAAACTGCTCAGGAATCCCCTCGATCCCGCCCAACATCTCTGAAGGAGAGTTTCCAGGGTGGACGCTGTACGACACAATCCCCTTGTCCGCGTACTCGACCGAGATGAACTCGGTTAATCTGATTAGCGCCAGCTTGGAGATCTGATATGAGCTTAGAGTCGGCGATACGAGATGAGCCCCGACGCTACTGATGTTGATGATAGTTTTGAGTTTCGACTTGACAAGTAAAGGGGCCAAGGCCCGTGCAATGAGATAAGGTCCATAGACGTTCGCAGTGAGGGTCTGCAACCAGTCTGCAGGCTCAGAATCAGGTATGGACACCATTTTCATGAATGCTGCATTGTTAATCACGACATCAACGTAGCCAAATGCTTCGTCGATCTTCTGCGCCAAAACATCAACACTTTCTGGAACGCCAACATCAGCTTTGATGGTTAGGACTTCTGGCTCCGGATGGCCTGCTTCTTTTGCTGCAGCTTTGATAGCTTCGGCGGTTGCCAACATGTCCGATCTAGAAGCGACAACAATACGAGAAGCACCAGCTCGTGCAAAGGCTGCACACATGGCTCGGCCATAGCCTCGAGATGCTCCAGTGACGAGAACTACCTTGTCCTTCAGATCAAAGTTCTTCGGGTCAATGGCAGGGTAGGTATCTGAGTGTACCACTGAGGTAACGTCATAGTCACCTTCATCGAGGTTACTCCATGCATCAAATGAAGCCACACCAACAAGGCTTGCTTACCAGGCCCTTCAAGAGGGTTGGGAGTTCCTTTGGGAGGAGGCATAGTGAATGCGCTTGGTATAAAACTTTGTTAATTGCTTTGCCTTGGATTGAGATAGAAGAGTAGTTTGCCCTGAGTTCTCATGGTCAAGGTAATGAGGCATCTTATATCCGTCCCTCGCAACAGGGTCTATGCAGCTATTACCAAGCTTTGGGTGACTTCGCCGGAGGCGGAATTTCCGGTCAGCCACTGAAGCGCTCCCCACCCAATCGATTGCAAGCGAATATCTTCAGCCAAGGCTTTTGGTCCTGTCAGCATATGTCATTACGGATATAAAGACGATGGTGCAGCAATTCGCAATTTACTGTATTCTCTTGCCAAGGTTCTCGACAATGTCAATTGAAGGGCATACTATTTGCTTGGTAATTGCAGCTACTCATACTTGCAGCGATGATGGAGGGTTATTCACGGAAGCAATCCCAGCCAACAACTCTTCCCAAGTTTCATCTTCCATCAGACCAAAGTCTAACACTGGGTCTGGCTGAATATTTCCAGAACCGGTACTCGAAAGATAGCCTTCCGAGCTACCCAGCTCAGAAGAGGAATTAGGTCCATCACTTCCAATAGAAAAGCTCAAAAGGCCTGGTTCCAGCCTTTTCGCTTCCTCATACGCAGCTGCTACCGCCCATATCATATCTGAGAATCCGAGCATGATGTCTTCTTCATTACCAATCTTCTGTACTTGAGAAGAGAGATTCTTGAACTTTCTTTGCAGCCGCTCTGCCTCGCCCTTCAGGTCAGCCACCCTCTCAACTGTCATAGCGTCATGAACAGGACAGCTAATGGCCATGAATGGGTCATTGTAGGAAGCAAGTCCAGTCTCTCTAAAGATTTCGGATGATATCTTGCTTGCATTTGAGAGACACAAGAGACTTCTGCAAATCTTGGCCGTTGTATAAAACGTGATGTACCAGAGCTCTCCGTCTTGATAGGCTATGATGGCATCATTCAGCGACTTGCAACTTCGAATAAGGTCAAACAAGATGGAAACCCTGGCACTGGTTGAGGAAGACGGATTATTAGTTATGAAGACGTTAGAAGTCGATGTGGTATCCCAAAAGTCATCATGCAGTGAAACTTCGCCCAGTAAAGTATCAAGCAAGTAGACCTCCATTTTTATAGCAACTGTCGATAGACTTTAGTCAAGTCATGAGCCGATGGTTCTTGGAAGTTTACTTACGGTTGTTCTGGAGATCTGGAGGAATGGAGGCTTTCAACAATGTAGATTCGTTGTTGAGGGTCTGCAAAGCCATGGCACTGACAAACTCTCCCCTCATCCCTGAGTTTTCTAGGTCGTCATACCCAAAAGTGTCGCATATACGACGACACAGTTCGCTTATACGAACGAAATGGGGGATCATAACGTCACTCGGGGATTCTGCGTTGGCTAGGAGGAGTTCCCAGCTCTGTTTGATGTATCCTGTGTATGGCAAAGCGCCGCGAGTCCGAAACTTGATAGAAACCCTGGTCCGTTAGTCTGCTTCCTTTTAATGACCCTTGACCTTTCTATACGTACCAAGATGCTGTGCAATAGGTTCCAAGCAAGGCCCGAAGTTGCTCTGCAGACCGTGCGGCCTTGCGTCCATGGGCCGTTTCATCTGGCCCAAGATCGACCTTTCGTCTCATATTGTCAGGATTCTGATCGAGCCCCAGGTTCTGGACCAGCGAGATACACAATTGTGCGATCGGAACAATCTGCTGCTTCTCGTAGCTGATAAAAAAGTACTGATACCATGCCAGGTAGATCAAGAGGCCTTGTAGAATTTCAAGAGTGCTTTCTGACTGCATCAAAACTCGCTGATGTGCTTGGTTGCGGATTTCTTCACCGATCTGGTGTTGGATGCTACAATTGTCGAATTTCATGGTTGCCATGACACACATGAATAAGAGGGGCTTGGCAGATCTCAGATGAGAGACGGTAATTTCGGAAGAAATGGGAACGAACGGAAAGTGTTGAACGGCTTTGCTACGATAGTTGTCTAGCAAACTTTGTGCTTCAGCCAAGCTGAGAAAACCGCGATCAACGATATCTAACGTCCCCTGAAGTGTTAAGCCCAGAGACAGCGGCAATTGGCCAAAGCTGTTATCATTCAGCACATCCATGTTGAGGTCTTCGGCCGCTAACTGTGCGACGAAGCCACTCATGGGCGTACCCTGGGCTTGGTTACCCAGCAGAGCCAAAACTCTACTCAGTCTTTGCTCGAGAAGTCGCGTGCGGCTGAGCCCAGTTAATATCGAGCGACGACCTCTGTTTTCATAAACTTACGAGGAACTGGTAGGACTCTTCCGCTTTTCGACAACATTTAGATAGGTGCAGCGCTTACCAAGCCGATTACACCGCTGGCATTCGTCAGATGAGAATGGCAGACATTTCGACTTGACAGAGGTGCAGTTGACACAGGCTCTTCTTCTCACACCAGAAGGTTTGGGAGCAGTACTAGTTGACATTCCGTCTCGCAGTCTTCTCACTATCTTGTCGTTGATCACTAGTGTTAGGCTGGTGAGATGTCCGTATGAGGTTTCGGTGCCAGTCAGATTCCGGTAGCCTTCGGGCTGCGGAGTTTCCGTCGGGCCAACAAAACTTGAATGCGCAAGATGACGTGAGTCAGCATTGAATACCCAATAAGCATAATTCTCAATTTTCATCTAGCTTGATTAAGATCTTATCGCAGGCTCAATGACGTTTGATGCGCCTAAATTGACCGCTTTTGTATAACGTTGCGAAGCTGTCTATTTGTCAGCCATGGCATGAACCTGCGCTTCAGCGACTTTATCAGAGATAGGGTCAAATACATACGCCACGTTGACCAAGGCATGGCAATGAAATGCCAAAATTTCCCATGGTAGCCCAAGAGATGAACAATGGAGCAGTTCGCTCTCCCTGCCAAAGCATTTTCGCCTCCTGAAAAACCGTATTACAATTTTCATTCGTTCCGAGTTGACCGCATAGTCTCTTGCTCTTAGTCTTTGTCTTTGTATGTCCTTGTTGCCATTGAATGAGATACTCTTCTCTGCGTTCGAAAGGGCTGTCTCAAACTCGGCAAATGTTATCCACGAGTTGCCATAACTGATGCCATGACTAGATACATAGAACGATTCCGCATTGATGTCTACCTATGTTTACTTTTGATACCATCCACTACCTACAGCCTTTGTCTTGGCTGGACCAACGTACTTCTTCTCGTACGCGGCGAACTCCTTACTCGCTGAAGATCCCTTGGCATCCGGGAAATCGACCTTGCAGCCGAGAGCCTTGTACCCGGGCACAAGAGCATCCGAGACGCCATTAAGAATCGATTGCAAGAGCTTTACAGAGTTGAAGAGCTCAGAGGGGAAGTTGGCGAAGATTGCATTGTACAGGAAGCAGCTCAAACCTTGAGGATCATTGGGTAAGTCCAGTGGCCCAACAACCCAGCTACCGTCAGCGCCAGATCCTCCCAAGGCTGGCTGAGCGTAAAGATACACATCAAGAATCCCGCCAACAGCCTCAAGAATGGTCATGGGTGTAGCACGTCGGTACCAGCCCTGCTCAGGAATGCGCTCAGGAACATGGGTGTATTCAAGATCCTTATCCTTCCAAGCGTTCTCACGCTTTGGCTTTGCGCCGTAGAAAGAGGTGATAGAAGCTTCATTGGCAATACCCCCCGCACCAATGGTACCGTTTGAGAAGAAGCCAGGGACGAAATAGTATGCGCCCATGACAACTGCAGCACTTGGAACGTTGAAGTAAAACTGCTTGTTGGCGGCCTTGGAGTCTCTATATCTATTCTTGAAGTGTTCCTTGATCGCATCGACGTTGTAGGTGCCATCTCCCTTGGCAAGGGCCTGTTGGTGCATTTGCTTAAACAGCTCTGACTTGAATGAAATGTTGTCTCCGTTGAGATAGAAATCTTCACGTGTAGCAGACGCGTCGCCTTCGTTGAACTTTCCTGTCCAACTGATTAATGACCGCCACGGTTTATGGTATTGAGCACGATCACTTACCATGTCCAGCGATACCAGATGGCTTGCCAAAGATCTTGTTGAGAGCACCGTTCAGGAGCCCGACACGATTATCAGGACCTCCGATGCTCATCTTCTGAGACAGAATGTCGCCACCGTCGACAGCGCCACCAACGGCAAGGAGAGTGGAAAGATCTGCACCCATGTTGAAGAGCTTTGCAGTGCCAGCTTGGATCTGGCCGACCGTAGCGATACCGTTTCGGGGAATATCTGTCAACTGTCAGCTACCTGTCCGCTAATCCTTCAATTCTCAGCTTACATCCGTGGTTGGCCAGAGTATTGAGACCGGGGCAAGGGCCTCGCTGGTCAGTCTTTCCAGGCGCCTTGAAGGGGTGAGAAGCTTCAGGGAACTTCTGAAGACCGTTGACGGCCTTATTGGTAGGAATCAGGCCCAGGACATTGTCGACGACGGCTTCAACAGTGCCTCCGAGCAAGGACACAACGCCCCCCACGACGCCAGTCTTGAGCTGTCGAGATTCGTGGCTCTTCTCGTCTTGGCTGACTTGGTGCTCTTTCAATCGTCGGTCGATCTCCGTCCGCGCCTCCGGGTGGTTGAGCAGCGCATCTAACCCTTCCGGGGCTAACCATGGGAAAGAAAGAGCCGAGGGGGCGCAAAGCGCGGCAACGATAACAGAGAAGCGCATGTTGATGCCTCGATGTCAATCGCTTCTCAAGACAGGTACCTTCTGAATGCTGATCAGGATATCAAAAACAGATTTGGGACATTATATAGGCGTTTTGGAGATCCACTAATGGGTTCCTCTTTGTATATGCTCCATGAGAATCCTGTGATGGTATCTGACGTAGTCGAAAACATGATAGATGGCTTGAAAGGGATCAGAAAACGTCTCTCTACAGAAAAGCAATGTGCATATTTGCTGGTCATTCTGCCATTGGACATACGACTGGCTGTTGCAAGGGACACTAAAGTCAAACTATCAATTTTCTAGGTCTATTCTGGTAATACATCCTGGCGAGACTCGTAAATACGGCAATACCCTCCGGTTCAGCCTGTAGATCATAATGAGAATGCGGAGGATTTCAAAGCCCCTCTGATCATTGGTTCCAGATGGTGATGGGGAACGGACCGAAAGGTCCCCGTCCTGCAAGCGCAGGGGATATGGCCTAGATTTTCCTGTCTTGCGCTGAGAAACACGCCAAGAAGATACAGAATGACGATCTGATTATAGATCTGCGTCCTTGGCTGAGGCTCAAATGTGGGTTCGATCATTGGGGCAACCCTCTTCGAGGGAACTTAATGTGATTTTGACTGTGTTTATTTATGCCACGTGCGATTCTGTCAGTGGCCACGTCTGGGAGATCTGCTAATAAGGTTACTGATTGAGTCATCATAAAAGCATATTATTCTGTTTTTTATTAGGAGACTTATCTTTATTGAGGCTATGCGTATATTGCCTTCTAAAAACTAAAGTTAAATGGGATTTTTCAGTGTTTTGGCTTGATATGCTTCGTGGAGGAGTTATAAGCTTAGGCATCAATCGATCATTGGGGCAAAAGATAACAGTTCTAACGTGCTCGGCCCCAGGCAAGACATTTATCGTCATCACCATGAAGTCGACAAGCTCTCTCTTGGATTTGAGATTATATAATAGCATGTTTTGGTTCCTTAGGAGAAGGTTTATTAAGACTGACATCCTTTTTGTACTTCATCATATTCTGCTGCAAATTTGAACAATATTGCTCCGAGGGGTACTTCATCTAGACCTGAAAATTTCGCATCCAAATGCTGGGTATGTACGGCTCCGCTCCTCGGATGTTGGCACATCCGTTCTGACGGTTCCTCTCCTTGCTTCTTATTGGCCTTGACGAGGTCTGATGCAGTTACGGAGCTTGACGTTGATATGCGATCATCTTGCTTGAGCTAGGCAGACGCTAGTGCTTATATAATTGTACTCGGTAGAGGAAGCGGGTTGCTATTAAGCCTTGTGACGAAAGTCTTTGCATTGAAGCCTTTTTGTGAGCTTAAATTCTTTCCTTGGTAACAATCTTTGAGTGCTATATCAGATATCAATCGGCTAACTTTGCTGTTGTAGTAACCTGCTGTACCGGGTGGATAGATACGTTGAGCTATCTTACAACTTTTTGCAAGGCCAATACAGGCTTGCATCATGTGTTATAAAAGAAAAAGGCATTATAAGGAGTTTAATCCTCCCAGTGTTTTGTAATCTACTGAAATATGCCCCTTAACTTTTACATAGAGATTCATTACTGCGAAAGCGCTTGTCACCGCTATTGGTCTTAGAAAGATCGATTGACAGCTGCCAGACCGTTGCTAAGACATAAGTACTAAGTAAAAGTCTTATTAGGTATTCTGTAGGCAGGCCCGTCTTTTAGTAATTAAAATAATAATCATTTATTACGTAGTGTAATATAGGGTTTAAAAAAAGAATTAAAAGCTAACGACAAATAATAAGAAATTGCAAAAAAAGAAATGCTTCATAGCAGCTACTGGTTTCGATCCAGTGACCTCCGGGTTATGAGCCCGGCTGGGATGAGTTAGTACGAATTTTGATTTCTCACTGTGGAGAAGAACATACCGCGCTTCCACTGCGCCAAGCTGCTTTGCTTGAGCTTATGTAATATTGTCTTTCTGTAATTAGTCTATATACCTAACAAAATCTCACTGGCCTCCCTCTGGGCAATCCAATCTTGCTGAACTGAGCGACACCCAGTGCATTTATGCTTTGGCAACAGAAGCCCTATTTCCCAAATTGATTGTAAATTGCCATTCCATTATTATCGCTTCTGAGAGGGCTTGTCTCAATTGACTTTCAGGGCAGATATTGTACATGATCTACTGCTATTTTATACCGCCGCAGAGTTACAGAACCTTTTTGCCTGAGGAAGCCCATCGATTTTGATGTATCTGCCTCCCCCCTACTGAGAACTACTGAACTTGGTCCGGAATCACCGGATCACTTTACAATTCTATTGGAGATGAGTCATTTCGTATTTCCAACTTGGCGGCTTCTTTCATGTCTCACAAAACTGCATCACCCGTTTCAAGGCAGATTTCTTGATGTTTGAGTTACTGGATTGGCTCGGATTCGCCCCACCTGTCTAGCGCTGACAGCTCGTCAATCAAACCGTGCAAGGGGTCGTTGATATTCTCCGAGCCTGGCATGTAAGTATTAATAACCGCCATAATTATCGTGTCAAAAGAACAGTAACAATACTTCCTCTCTTTGAAATGTCTGTTCTTCCAATCTTGAATAAGTCCCCTGTTGCATTAAATTCTCGCTCTAGTATACTACAGTATTGCGAACATGCAGCAAGTTAGAAATTCTCCCCTCTCCAGGGCTCTTTTCAACGTCTGGATATGTATTTGGACTCTTATTGTACTTTCGATATTCGCTCTCGCATGCCTTGTTCAAGCTGGCTCCATCAACATGCCAGATTGGACTAAAGATCTACGAAAATTCGACGATGAAGAATGGGCTCAATATTCAGCCATATTAATCATATCGATCTGCGTTCTATTCGTCTTAACAATGGTCACTGGCATAGCTGCGCTTCGAGCCGATGGATATTGAACCTACTCGACCCGAACTGCAAATCCTTGACTGTAACATATACTCCCCACGCAAACCAAGAAGATGGTTGTCTCGACAAATAAAGAAATCCATCAACTTCGACAGCAACTGGCTCAACAGGAGTCACATGCAAGCCTTCCCTTCGAAATTCCTGCTCTATGCTTCGCCTAAATGGCACGTCGTCGCTGGAGAATGCTATGATTTTCCACGGACGGATCTGACGAGAGGCTCCAGACCCTTCGAAGATGACATCCGTTTCTTCGCTGCGTATTCGTGGCAACTCCCATAGATACTTTGGGCGACAGGTGGACGCACGCCTCCACTCGAGATAAAACGGAAATGAAGGTTCAACAAACAAAGCGCACGCGGGCGTCCCGCTCGATTGATCATAATGGAAGGGACCCAAGAGAGAACCTGGTAGTTTGGTATTGGAAAGTTGAGTTTGAAGTGAAATGATGGATCGTATTCTATTCTTAGATACCATGAAATGTTGCGTGCACATTGATTGTATTATGCTACTCAGTCCCTTCTGCTACTCAACCCCAGATTCCAAAACAGCAAAAGTATCAGTCTCAGAATCAAGCTCAGCCAAGGCATCATACGGCAATGTGACAATGGGCGTCGTATGTCCAATATCCACATTGAATAGAATCGGGAAGTTCTTTGACGCAAGCCGTCCCTCACAGAATAGTCCCTTGATGATGCTAGCATAAACCTCTCGCTCCTCATCAGAATCATATCCATAAGGTCGTCCCACAACCAGTCCTGCCGCCTCTTCGAAGACACCTTGAGCTATCAAGTCTGCAAACGCTGCCTGAACACGATGAGGAGGGTTCCCACCAGAACCGTCCTCGTTCGTAGCAGTTTCGAGGAAGACGATTCTGCCACGCCAGTCAGGAATAATGGCTGAAACTCCCGATAAGCGGGCGACTACAGTGAGGCAACCACCGAACAAGCGACCCCGAGCCTTTCCATGTCGCAGCCATTGCCAGTCCGTTGTCTTCACAACCTCTGGTGGCTCTGTGGATTCTGGTGTTGCAAAGAAGGGCGCTGCTCTGGGTGCATAAAACTTGGATCTGGGAATCTGTCCGAGTGGTTCTGTAGATGTAATTGCTCGAAGCAGATTATCGACACAGAAGGCAAGAGGGGTATCTTTGTCGTTGATATCGTTCGCTTCCCCGATCTCGGGTACTGCACCAGGACCATAGAAAGTCCTGAGACCCGTCAAACCATACAAGAACCAGTGCAAGCCCGAGATGTCGGAATAGCCCACTACAATCTTTGGGTTTGCGCGAATGGTCTCGTGAAGTTCTTTATCCGCAATCAGGGCCGGGAGAAGCTCTGTGAAGGTTGTGCCGCCAATGGTAGTGATGATGGCGGAGATGCTGGGGTCTGAGAAAGCGGCCCGGATCTCAGAGAGTCGATTATCGATGCATGACTGAATGCCCTTATCTGCGCTGAAGAAAGTCTGCACTTGGTATCCTTTGTTTGTGAGAAGAGCAGAGGCTCGGTCTACCACTGCTGGAAGCGTGGCGTTGATACGCTCCGATGGTGAAATGAACGCGACTTTGTCACCAGGCTTTAGGTGTTTCGCCCGAATTGGTGAGGGCATTATGGAGGTTGAACAAATTTTGCCTGGCGCTATTTGAAAATGGAATCGACCTCAAGAGATATGCGATGTTTTGCTATTTTGAGGGCTGTTGGTTGATGTTATTGCGTTAGATTTAGTGAGGGGTCAATGTCAATGGCGGGTTATAATATCTCCACTGAGGACCCTGCGTAACGTTATATTGTGATATCGCACATCAATGGCCAGCTTCCCTTGCTCAATCCAGTCTGAGAGGGGAAAATGTGCGTAAGCATTATATTTCGTGAGGCCTAGAATGCCATTGCGCCCTTCAAAAGACAGACAAGTAACAAAAGTTCCACCATTCGCCATTTTCGCTAATGCCCGTAAGACCATCATCCTTGGTCGCCCGCTCAATCTGGTTACTCTGGTCCACTGAAAAGTCCCTTCGGATATCCGTCTCATTCTTGATTATTAACACCGTTGGCCATCATTTCGTCGCCCATTATTTGCGTATCGACGATAGGAAATAGAGACATTGTCGTATCAAAAGAATCAAACCAAAGCATGTTCGGTGAAATACCAAGAAAAGCATCCGCTGAAATATCAACGTCAATATCTGTTTGCTCCCCTCCCTCTATTGAGAAGCCTTGTTGCTCCTCGGTCATCTCGTTCGCTACTTGGCCCGGTCTGGGTGTTTGCGGTTGTGTTTGTATCCCATCCGTTGAACCGATTCGAGAGTTACCTTCTGGTTGCTGAGAATTTCGTAATGGCGACTTCCCGATGGTGTGAATACTCCCGAAAAGACCGTTGACGAGGTACCGTTGACGTTCCATTCGTAGCCTTGCCCGGTTATCCATGTATATGTCGCATGCATTCTGTAGGTGATCCAAGATCATAAGATGGCGCTTCGCCACAGCATCGTAACGACTGAAGCGGTCGAGAACGCCTCTCGCTGCATGGAGGCTCTTCTCGAGCGGGAATGAGTTGTCGAAATCGCCAAAGATTGCTGCACCGAGGACGAGACCAGATACGAACGCCGAGTTTCCAACAATCGGTAAGCGTTTTGGTATAGTTCCAGTCCTGACAAGAGTCTGTAGTAGGTCCACTGTCCGCACTGCCGACTCGAGGCAGGAGTGGACAAGAACTTGGTTCGCTGACGAAGATCGCTTCGCAGTTCCTTGCGCGGACTGCTCATTGTCTTCGACGTGTTGAGATACCGCCTTATGTAGAAATGGAAGAGACAGGAGCATGACGGTCCAATGACCAGTGAGTTTGAGGTGTATCAGCCCAATATTTGGCTGTTCTTCGCCATTCTGGTCACGGATCAAGTCATCCTGCTCGATGCCATCAACCGCGAGACCCTCTCCACATTGTGCAGTCCATCGTCGGAGATGCTTGCTGATGCGTTCCAGTATCTCTGGAGATATCATTCTTTTTGCATAAACATCTGTCAGGATCAACTCGAAGATCATGGAGAGGTCATTGCAAGCTGAATAGTTCTGAGGGTTTGTAGTGTCTCTCAACTCGGATGTTGAGGGAGGCCGACCCAATGAGGCGCTCATGAAAAGATCCAGAATTCGGATGCCTTTCCATAGCTGTTCTCTCGCACGACTCTCGTTGGCAGAGAAGAGGGAAGCAATATCATGGCGATGAAGACCGATGGCATATGCCGCTCGAACTCCCATGCCGAGATACATAAAAGCCGCGTTGCGGCGCGATGCACCTAGAAGATACATGGCGATGAGCACGAACGCTTGAATGGTGACAATGCCCGGCTCTTCTATCAGTGTTTCCACTGTCAAGTACCGGGCATAGTTGAAGAAGGTCTCAGCCAGGTCATCTTTGTCTTCTGGCCCTGTTTGCGCACCAATGGCAAAGACCAGATAGTATACAGAACTCGCAGGGTCAGCGATATCTTGGCCATCTTCAATCCACTTCCTTATGCCTTGGTCAAGTTCTGTTTGGTCGAAGAGAAGAAGTACACAGTTAGCTGATTGCATGTACCATTTCACAAGGTAATCGAGTTCCTGCTCCGACTGCCGTGGCGGCGGGTTCTGAGCACTCGACAGGATCCATCCTCGCCGTGTTTCAGGCGATGCTTCGACGATACCATGTCGCAATGGGTCATCAACAAGGGTACAATCTCCTATGCTACGTCGCACAATCCTCCGAATATTCTGTAGAAAAGACAGAGTTGCAGAGTCGCCAATGAACATGTATTCACCCCTCGTATCTTGAACAAGGCGCGACATGCGTGGAAGTCTCTCGGGTTGTGTATTCGAGAGCAGCTGCAGAGAAGAAGAGGTCCCGTCATCAACATACGTCTCATCCACCGACGTCAGACCCGATCTGTTTCCGACGGTTATACTACCAGCAGGAGTGGTCTGCTCGGTGATATTACTGAGTCTATCGGGATCGGGACTTGGTAGGGATGACGCGAGGATGCGTCTTGCGCCATTGTTTGAGGCAGATTGAGACTCGTGGCACTCATGACCGAGACCTCGCTTGATGCAGCGGGCGCAGGGTCTACGGCCATCACATCTCTGTTTGCGACGTTTGCAGCTCTCGCAGGCCTCGGCGCATCGCCTTCTCTCGCAGTCTCGGACCCTCCTGGTAGGCATTTCGTCGTCGGTAGATCGTGTGAAGTCCCTGGAACTGAGGGAGTGAACCGCGGGCCGCGAACTGTCGGATATGGCCAGGTCTTTATTGGTTACTTGGCCACGAGAATGGGGTAAGATTTGGTGACATTCCCGCTGACGTAAATTGGCGTACCTTTCACTATTACCGAGCTGCCGATGGAATGATCCCTGTAGCCGACGGTCACATTGAGGGGTCAACGCCACTGAATTCCTGCGTGGTCACTTCTGAGTCAGTGCTGAGATGGCTTGGTCAGACATTAAACACGCAGTCTGGCAACACAAGATCATCAATGCAATATCTGGTGATTAAAGCCGCGAAGAAATGCATTTTGATTTGATTAATATATATCTTATCTCAAAACTTTAACCCAGTTTGGATAAGAACTCTTGTATTTTGGAACCAATTTCGTCTGCTGCCTCAATACAGTGCCAATGACCAACTCCAGGCAAAATGTGCATGCTCTTCGACGAGTCGCTGCAGCCCCAACTAAAATAAGAGTCAGCACTGATTGCTTCAATCCATTGACCTTGCAATTGAATAAGTACTTACTCGCTCAAAATCTTTTGCGCATCCGGAATCGGGCTTGTTTTGTCCTCTCCACCAGATAGAACAAGCACGGGGCATTTGATGTTTGCGTAAGGAGGCACGTCTGCTTGCGCAATCGCGCGACACAAGGCGATGTACCCCTCGGGCTCTTGCGACAGTAACAGAGCTCGAATGAATGCTTTTTGTGTCAAAGTTGCCTTGGAGCCTGTCGCGGCGAATGGAATAGTCTTGGCCATTGGCTCCATTCCCTCTGAGCTCAAGATTAATACCAGATCATACTCTTTGTACTTCAAATTGGCTCACCTTTCTTGGCTGTCTCTATGCGAGTATTGAAGATCTCGGCCATTGCAGGCTTTGGCAGCACAGGGCCAATGAGAACTGACCCGCGAAGGTTGCACTTCAGGGCGAGCTTTGGTACAATGATACCGCCCATAGAATGTCCAACGGCGACGGCATTTTCGGGTCGGATGCGCAGTCCTTCCAGTAAAGCCTTTACATCACTCGCGATTGTGTCAAATGTTGGATCTTCAACCCCCTCTGACAACACGGAAAGGCCACTGCCTATTGATCTTTAGTGTATGATTCCTGCTAACAGAATAAAGCAAGTACTGACCATAGACATCCAGCGCAATTGATGAGTATCCTGCAGTCGCGAGCTGGTTCATGACTGGTATATAAAACGAATGAGATGACCCAAGGCCATGGATGAATACCAGAATTGTGCCATCTTTTGAGGCTGTTTCAGCGTCCACTTGGGCGTAAAACAGTGTCTTATTCTGAACTTTGATGAACGGCATATTGATGAGAGATGTCGACAGACCGAGCAATAAACTGACAGCGATTGATACAATGGGAGTATCTTTTGTTGTCGATATACTATCTTCAATCCTCGAGGTCTCTCACAAATGCCTCAATCTGTTCTAGCGCGGGTCTTTATGGCTCACATTCAGCGTCGGAAGCCGGGCGAGAAGCCATCGGCAAGGGTCACAGCCGACCTGCACCACTAAATTATGGGGTCTATACAGCCAACTCAATCACTGATGACACTATCTTTCGCGCATTATGGGTCACACATCGCCAAAAACCCATATATCTTAGGCAGTTATCACACAGATATAGTGGGCTATCGCTTACGTCCGAACTGCCGTCGATTTCCGCCACTCAACGAATCGAGCTGTGTCACTGTATAAAGACTCCCTTTTAACAATCAACCTCCTGTAGATGCCCTCGGGTGGATGCCTCTTTTTAGCCAATAACCGATAAGTTTCTTCTGTCAAAATGGGTAGCATTAACCAGCACGATTATTCCTCGGTGGAGGAAAGTAAGAGAATCTTTGACTACCTTTGCGGCCAATTCGATGAGGTTGCTTTTCCAGCGGCTGTGAAGGAGCTCAAGGACAACATCGAGTTTACTTCAGCTCGAGATGCGCCATACTTTCCTATCCCGTTCAAGGAGACGGAGACAACCGCTGCGCTTAAGGCAGTAGAGGGTGCCGTCGCTAGTCTGCTAGCAAAGACCGTTGAAGGTGAATCACAACCGAAGAAGATCAATGTCAACTTGGAGAAGACTACAGCCTTCCTCTGCCAGGCTTATATGGCCAAGGTTGGTGGTCTTGGAAAGCTTGACCCTGGCGTCAAGGCTCTACTCAAAGGTACGTCTATACGCCACAACTGTTGGCTTTCAAGCCAAGGAACTAACGATCATAAGATACGGATTTGCTGCAGGCCCAGTCAAATCCTTACCGCCGCATGTCAGCCAACTTGTATGAGACTAAGAACGCTGGAGAGTATTATCACATTCATGGATCTTTGGAGGCTTCGACAACTCTGAAGATGATTGGTCTCGAGCCTTTCAGACCAGACTTGCAAACACATGAGAGTATCGTCAATACTATCGAGCCTGCTGTCCGACAGTTCTCGATAGACGAGCTTGAGAGCATGAACGCTGCTCGTCGACAGGCCGGAGTTCCTGCGTTGAAGCACGAGGATTTTGTGAAAACTCAACATGTAAGTTGAACCTCTCATATACAAGAGCGTATCTAACAAGCAATCAGGGCAAGACAAATATGGCGATTCCACCATGGTCTGTCGACAGCCTTGAGGCCGAGACACCCAAGTGCCCCCTAACACCAAGTTCAGAGCACCCAAAGAGGATATTGTCAGGCATCAAAGTTCTTGAGCTCTGCCGTATCATTGCTGGACCTATCGTCACCCGTATTCTCGGAGAGTATGGAGCCGATGTACTCAAGATTACAAGTCCCAATTTGAGTGACGTTCCTTTCTTCCAGGTAGATGGCAACATGGGCAAGCACGCTGCAGAGCTAGACCTGAAGTCCCCTGAGGGAAGAGCTGAGTTTGAGAAGCTTCTCGCTGAAGCTGATGTCGTTGTCGACGGATACCGACCTGGCGCTTTGGAGAAGCTTGGATATGGCGCTACTGCACTTACGAAACTTGCTAAGGAGCGTGGCAAGGGTTTTGTGTATGTCAATGAGAACTGCTTTGGCTACGAGGGAGAGTGGGCTGGACGACCTGGGTGGCAGCAGATTGCCGATTGTGTAAGTGCCTTGTTCTACAGCTAAGTGGGAGGCCGAACTAACCCGATTGATAGGTCAGTGGAATCGCGTGGGAGCAGGGACGCTTCATGGGCTTGTCAGAGCCCGTCGTACCTCCCTTCCCCATTTCGGACTACGGAACAGGATGCATTGGTGCCATCACAGCCCTGCTAGGTCTCTATCATCGCGCCACCCGCGGTGGATCATGGCATGGAAAGGCCTCGCTTCTTCACTACGACTTGCTTCTCTTCAAGGTTGGGCAATATCCTGAGGAAGTAAAGGAGAGGTTGAGGAAGGATATTGGACCTGATTTCTTGGCCCTGCGACACGCGCACAGCGTGGACCAGATCTCAGGAACAGCGTTATTGAGGATGCGACAGGTCTTCCCTGAGCTCTTCACTGGAGATAAATACGTTGAGAAATGGTACTCTAATGCTTACAAGGCTGAGGTGGAGGCCGTACCACCTGTTGTGGAAATTGAGGGTCTGGAAGTTGGCTTCAGGAGAGCGAGTCGGCCTAACGGTGCGGACAAGCCAACATGGGATTTTGGCGAGGAGGCCGATCGCAAGCTGTCAAAGTAGTGTATCGCATTAAGTTTTAGCATTTACCTAGCCAATTGATACATGCATAGATCATTTAGACTCTATCCTTCTTTCTCCCCCCACTGCAGATACTAATTCTGTGTTGTCGCGTGACAAGAAGTTGTAACAATTGATGCCCTTCACTTCCGTTCCTATCACGGCGAATTTGCGACGGCTTTGGCGTATTCCGGGTGACTTGCAGCGGCTACAATAGGCTTATTTCCACTAGCAGCATCGTACGACACACTAATCTTTGGCTCCATATTCCGTGGCGTCGGAATCGGAGTCAGGGCGTCCCCTCAGCTGTACATCCGATCAAACATGCTCCGACATCCGAAAAGCGTGTGGCACCATTCTCGCCTCTGCCGAGAGTGCTAAACGCAATCATCAGTCCCCTAATTGGTTGGGCACTTCCCCCCGCAAAATGGCTGCAACATTGCCGCTTGGCCCCATGGGACACTGATACTCCCAACGCGCACCCGATGTCCTTTCGGGAGATGTCCTTAGCCGCTCCGTCGAACCATGCTGACTGTGAATTATGCGGGGTCAAGTCATCTGCTCGACACCATCTTTGAAACAAGTCCAGTGATAAGAGGGACTTCATAAGACCTCTTAGAAAGCCTCTTCTTTCATTCACTCAAGCATAATTCATCGTCACCAACACTCTTCCTCCCATCCCCTCAACTCCATCAATACCCCACAAAACTCTATCAAAATGACACCATCAGCGACTGGCGGAAATGCCAATGGCGCTCCCAAGGAGGAGGGTCTCGGCCAGGCCTTCACACAGCAGGTCATCGACTCTTTCGGTCCCAAGACTGACCCTCGTCTGAAAGAGGTCATGACATCTTTCATCCAACACATGCACGACTTTGCGCGCGAGACACAGCTCACTTGCGATGAGTGGATGTCTGCTGTTAAGATGATCAACTGGGCTGGGCAAATGAGCAACGACAAGAGAAATGAGGGTCAATTGATGTGCGATGTTATTGGCCTTGAGAGGTAATTTACTACTCACAGCCTCCAATTCTATTACTAACAATTTTCAGTCTTGTTGATGATATTACACACCGTCAAGCAGCCAAGAACGGCGTGGCCGCAACTGAGACTGCTATCCTGGGTCCCTTCTGGAGACACGATACCCCTACTCGTGAGAATGGCACCACAATTACTTTCGACACTCCCAGCGATGGTGTTGTCGCCTATCTCTACGGTACCGTGACATCAGCGGCTACTGGAAAGCCCATCCCCAATGCCTCTGTCGAGGTTTGGCAAGCATCCACCAACGGTACGGTCATATCTTCGAGATTCCTTCTTGCAAAGTCTAATTCTTCCTAGGTCTCTACGAGCAGCAGGACGAGAAGCAGGTTGAGCATAACCTCCGTGGCAAGTTCATCACCGATGACCAGGGACGATACTCTTTCTACTGCCTACGGCCTACTCCTTATCCCGTAAGCAATTTTGTCCCATCAATATGCCAAGGATCTATAATCTGACACTTTCTCAAGGTTCCTGATGACGGCCCTGCCGGTCAGCTTCTCCACCTCCTCGACCGCCATCCTTTCCGCCCTGCCCATCTACACTTCATGGTATGTTCAACTGAAAATCCCAGAAACGTCGAGGATCTAATCTAACATGTTTCAGGTTATTGCTGAGGGCCACAAGTCTGTTGTTACTCAGATCTTTGATTCTGACTCAGGATATCTCGAGAACGATAGTGTCTTCGCTGTTAAGGATGGCCTAACAGTGAAATTTGTGCCACGAAAAGGAGATCCCAAGGCCGAGTGGGAGTTGGAGTACAACATGAGCCTGTCAAATGATTCATAGAGCAGTAGCATTTTTTTTTATAGTCATAGCGAATTTCATTGGGTTTCTTTCGACCGTTATTGCTGGTGAATTGGTGACCATATAGTGATCGATCCTAGTCGTAATTTCAATGACTTTTAGCTGAAGTCTGCCGTATCTCTTCGAGACATATCAAGCCAGCATATTGGAACGCATTCAAAAAGGCTGAAGTCGCTTTCTTCAAATCCGTTAGTTGAATGTCGTCTATTGCGCCTCATTTACAGCTCGACCTCAGGCATAGGCACGATTATATTCATTGGTGGCAGAATGTCTTTCGGTGGCCAGAGTTGGCAGAGAGTACTATGCTGGCAGGAAGCCTCTCGAACTATCAATATATCAGCCTCGTGAATTTTCAGCCTTATTTCATCACCTGTGTTCACAACCTCAAGCTTAACCTTATAGGCAGCAGTCGAATACATAGAACTTTCAGCCTTATTTCTATGAGCAAATAGTGTAAACAATGACTAGACTCTCGTCCTATAGTTTCCACCAGCGTTGAAGCCCTCAGCTGGAAAGCGAAGGAAAACACTTCGTGATATTCTTGTTGTCTACGAAATCATGGAGATCAATCGTTACAGAAACCAACTTCAAGAGAGAAGCAAACATGAGGGGTATTAAGCCTTCGTTCAGTAAACATGTTGTCCCTAAATTTTCATTGACTCTTCAATGTTTGCCTCGATGCAGATTGCGCCGTCGTGCTCTTCGGATTATACCTGTGATATGTACCGGCGGTGAGTCCGACCAGAATCAAACAGCCAAATGTTTCACACATGTTGTCTAATCAATGCGATTAGAAGATATATACCTGATCATGTTCTCAAGATGAGCTTGACAATTTTGAAGACTAGTTTATGGCTTTCAAAGCGCGGCATTATTATTCTGGCCATACGGGAGCTGTTGATCCGCGGCAAATCTTTGACATTGCCAGGAAAACACTGTCTTAGCAACCTGCCTATTCCACTCAATCCGATCCAGTAACACGGTTAAATGATGCAACCTCGTTCGTAGCGCGGCTATGTTATCCAGGTAGAGACTGAGTTTCTATTTCATGCCCAATAGCATGTGATACTCTGGCCCATGGCTTTGGTCACACATCCGCCTTGAGAACCCTGATGAGAGCTTCAGTTACACTCCATTCGAGTTTTATAGTCATTACAACCTTATAATATCGTATTTTCCATTATTCTGTGACTTGAAATAGGGTAGGTACCCTACGCTGTGACTAAAGTTTCCATGACTTTGTACCCCGCAATCCACCAATTTGGGTGTGAACTATCCCCAATATCGACAAATAACGTAATGTTAAGGGTGTTTTGATGCAACTAGATAATAATACCCCGGATGTTTTTGGAAGGCGTGTCACTTCGGTGAAGCAAACCGGAAGACATCGGTCTGGGGTAGCAGATGATTGGTACGTATATCCGACACGTGACCGGTTGCCGGTATGTCGACCGACCCACCGCCGGCAGCGAGTCCGGAGATAAGCGCGGCTAAATATGATTCGCTGGGCACAAGATATTCCGCTCCTAGATAAGGATCTCGACGCGACGTGGCCAATGAGGATAACCTTGTTGGCAATGCGCGGTCCACGTTTCTTGGCTTACGATATAATAATACACCCAACACAAAAAAGGGAAACACTTTTTAAGATCCGTCAATTGAAGGAAGAAACATTTTCTCACATTTTTCAGAACCTGCAATGAGTCGCGCAGGGATAAGGCAGCTTTCGCTGCTTCGGGCGTCGAGACAATGTCTATCTCCCCGATCCCTTGCTACCGTTGTAAGGGGGCCTATCGCTCGCTCGACACCGCCATCAGCAACTTTGTTGGGACGCCAGAGATATCGACTTTTCAGCACAACACGGCCACGAAGAAGTCAGGACGAGCAGGATGAAGATGCGGGCTCGTACAGCGAAGCGGATCATGAACATGCTGTTATTTCCACTTTCGATCTGTTTTCTATCGGCATTGGTCCCTCATCTTCTCATACTGTTGGGCCCATGCGTGCTGGCAACATTTTTGTCAACGATTTGATCGACGCCAATTTGCTCCAAAAAGTCAACAAAATCCGCGTCGCCATTTATGGGAGTCTAGCTCTCACAGGTGAAGGTCATATGACTCCTTCGGCTCTACTCCTTGGTCTCGAAGGCGCCGATGTCGAGACGGTCGACACAGGCTACGTGCCCAGCCGCTTCGAAGAGATCAAGTCCAGTAAGAAGATTTTCCTAGCACGTGGGCTGGCCGCAGATGGATCCAAAGGTAAGGAGATTGATTTCGACTATGAGAAGGAATTCATCTGGGAATGGGGTCGTAAGCTTCCCCAACACAGCAACGGCATGCGCTTCACTGTCTACGACAAGGAAGGCTATGTCATAGCCACCAACGATATGTTCAGTGTAGGCGGCGGTTTCGTTGTCAACGGTGCTCTTAGTATCGCACCCCAAGAAACCCTCTCCGCAAACGCCCCCGCTCAACTCGAAGTCGGAGATTCGGACACGGCAGCTCACCCGGCTGATTTGGCCGAGAACATGTACTACAAGGAAATCCGGCGCTCAGATGCCGCGGGAGATCGACGAACCGGCACCGAAGTCAAGGCCCTTGAGGAAGCCAATGAGGGCCCGACAGCTCTCCTCGGAGACTCGCCTGAGCCAACCGGCCTCTCTACCGATGTCAAGTCCGAGACCAAGGACACCAGCTCATCGCCGCATCCGCGGTATCCATTCCGAGATGCCGCTAGTCTGCTTTCACTCTGTCGCAAACACAATCTCACTATCGCGCAATTGGTGTATGAGAATGAGAAGAGTCTAGGATATACCGATGAGGACATTTATCGAAAAATCTTCAAGATTTGGGGAGTCATGGATGCTAGTATCCTGGAAAGTGTCCAGGCACCAACGGGCTCCAAGCTTCCTGGATCCCTCAAGCTGCATCGACGAGCGCCGGCGCTCTACCGCCGATTGACTCGAGGCTTGTATCCCTCGTCGACTGCTGATACCTCAGCTGCTCAACTCGAGCACAAGTTCTCTTCGCCCGACGGCAACATCAACGAAGATGGCGCGGGCTCATCACCGAAAGCTCTACCAGCGACTTCATCTCCGTTGGTGCCAGAGAAGTTCAAGGCTGGAGGCCTTCGGAAGCGCGGTCCGCCACGGATTCACGGTTCTCTGGATCACCCCATCGCTCCAGCTCCTTCTCGCCGGACGACATTCCCCACCATGGACTATTTGTCTGTCTATGCTATTGCTGTCAATGAAACCAACGCTGGCGGCGGTCGAATCGTCACCGCTCCCACCAATGGCGCCGCAGGCATTATTCCAGCTGTGCTCAAGTACACCACAGAGTTCATCAGCGACGATCCTGAACGAGATATCCCCACGTTCCTGCTCACTGCTGCCGCGATCGGTATGCTTTATAAGCGAGGTGCCACTATCTCAGCCGCCGAAGGAGGATGTATGGCGGAGGTCGGCGTTGCCTGCTCCATGGCCGCTGGCGCTTTCGCTGCCTGCATGGGAGCCAGCCCTGAAACAATCGAGCAAGCCGCAGAAATCGGTATCGAACACAACCTCGGACTGACATGCGATCCCATCGGCGGACTCGTCCAAGCTCCTTGCATCGAGAGAAACGCGCTGGGCGCGACAAAGGCCATCTCCAGCGCCAACCTGGCGCTTAGCAGTGAAACAGGCACGCAGCGCGTGAGGCTGGACGACGCTATCCGGGCGATGCGGCTGACGGCCAAGGGAATGAGGAACGAGTTCAAGGAAACGAGTTTGAGTGGATTGGCTACGAGCGTTCACATTAATATTCCAGTCAGTGTGCCTGACTGCTAGACACGGTGTTGTTTTGTATTCAGCGATAATTATCAACAAAAAAAGGGATTCATCAGCGGCGTAGATATTGCTTTTCTAGATTAGAAGTTTCACTTTTTGCATTGTTAGCTGAGTAAGAGTATCATTCTGCTTGGTGGGTATCACGTGCTAAAAGATAGATGTCCGTAGTTCGTGTGGAGAATCGGTGAGACGAATCGTCACCTCGATTATTCTTGAATCTTGATTCATGGCGGATGTCATGGAAGACCACCAGAGCCCTTCAGCTATGTCTCACGAACCTTGTCCATCTTGTTTCAATTTCGATCCAGACTTCGTAACACCAGGTTCCAACAATGATGTCAGAGTTGACTCAAAAGAGCTCGTAGTATTGGTGCTTCGAGATATCCTACAGTTCGAAAGCGCGGCGATTTCAGGTTGTGACTGTTGCGCATTCATTGTCAAGAGTCTCACATATTCAGGCTTGTTGGGGACCGAGAATCGGATGGGAATTCAGCTTTACCTTCGACTTCCGATTGGACAAGGAAATCCAGAGATATTATTCGGCGATCCTGAGCGCTCGCAAATGTTCTTGCAATTCTATACTGACTATGGTATGAATTGTCTAGCCATCTAAAGACCAACGATAGCGGACTAACAAGTATATCCAGCTCAAGGAGAGACTTGGAAACGAGTCAAACCTTTGCCAGACATTTGTGATGACCATCTATCACGCGAAGGCTTAAGCTTCGTCAACGCTTGTTTCTATAACTGTATCAATGACCATAAGCTCTGCAAGCAAGACAACTCTACTTTGCCAACCCGCATTTTAGACATAGGGAGCCCTGGAGATGGTGAAGTTCGTCTGGTTGAATCAGAGGTTCTCAAACCTGAGAAATATGTCGCACTCAGCTACTGCTGGGGTAGAAATCCATCTATCAAAGCCTTGACTGGGAATTTGGAGAACCTGAAGACTGGGACTGGACTTGAGGAACTTCCAGCAGCTTATACTGACGCAATTGCATTTACTCGAGAACTCGGGGTAAGATATTTATGGATAGATGCACTCTGCATCATCCAAGACTCTGAAGCCGACTGGGAACGAGAATGCTCCAGGATGGCCGATACATACGCCAACGCTTTCTTAACCATTGCAGCCTCGTCATCAACGTCTGTGACCAGTCACTTTTTGCGGCCTCAGCTCAAGCCACCACCGCGAGCGGCTCAGGACCAGTGCGCGATCTACAGCGAATCAATGAGAAGTGAAAGGGGGCCTCCGATATTACTGAAAGTAAGGCTCATGCAAGCAACCGGTGCTCATTGGAAGTGGAGACCATCTCACAGTACAGATCAACAGCCGCTCGTGGAACCTCTCACTCAGCGAGGCTGGACGTTGCAGGAGAAGGTCCTATCAACCCGGCTTCTGTCTATATCCGTGATGGAGATGGCATGGACGTGCAAAGAGGCAATATTCTGCGAATGCGGATCCAAACTGAATCATCAGCGTGAATTTGGAGGGACGCCATTGAGTCAAATATCGCGACAAGGTGAAGCCTTTAATTTCTGGCACAAAGTCATTGAGAATTACTCTAAAAGAAACCTCACACAACCCGGCGATAAGCTTCCAGCGATATCTGCTATAGCCGCTTCAGTCCAGAAGAAGATCGGGTCAGATTACGTGGCTGGTCTATGGACTGATAACATTGATCTGGATTTGTTGTGGCGGAGGCCATCAGCCAGTAGGATTCAAGCTGCCAACTCATCTTACATCGCCCCGAGCTTTAGTTGGGCTTCAATCACGGGAGAGGTCGATTACCTGTGTTTTAGGAACGGAAAATGGCCATATGAAAAGGCCGCTACTGTGCTGGAGATCAATGCAGTAACAGGTCCTGAGGCGCCACTTGGAAGAGTCACCAGCAGCAAGATGATAATCAGCGGGCCACTGGCGATGGGGTATCTCGAGAGTCGGGGCCCGTATGATTGGTACGCGGTGCGTCTTGGGCGGGCTCTTCTGTGGTTTTCCGCCGATACGAGCCTCTCAACAATCGTAAACGGCAGCGAAGTCTCAGTGTGCAGAAGAAGCCGCGAGTACAAGGGAAGCGATGTAGCAGAGGAGCTGAAGCGGCTAAACCGAAAGCGGAGTTCTGAGGATACACACCACCTGACCGAGCCCACCACGGGTAATGCAGCGATTCGATGTTGGGTGCTGAGACTTGGGGCATTTCCGTTCGGGGATAAGGGGCAAAGAGATCACGAGTGGCTAGTGCTGGGGCGGTCAGCGACACAGCCCGAGCTCTTTGAGAGGATCGGACTAGGGTCGCTGAAGGATAGTCAAGAGGCGGAGGTTCTCGAGTTGGAGACGATAACGACAGTTTCGATAGTTTAGTCGTCTAACTAGGTCGTCTGAGTTAGTTAGTGAATGCAAGCCTCGCCTTCACTAGTTGCGCTGAATGGACCCAGGTAGCTGGCGATCATTCGACCGCCACGGCTTACGGCGGCCACATACTGTACGTGACAGTTATCACGATTGTGGGTCAGTGCATTGATTAGTATATCCTTGCAGTGCATGGACAGGGGAGGCTAGGCTAGAGGCTGTAGGTTGGAGGAATAGGAGCGAAGTAGTGCCAAGCAAGGGCGAGTGATGATGGGTGGTGGGCCATAATTGATCGAATTGTCAGCCACCGGCTTACATTCCCCAAACTATTAGAGCTGAGACTAAGGTGACGCCACTGGAACGAAAAGGGCAGATGGATGAGAGGGACTAGGAGGGGACAAACAAGATGATGCGTGAGTGACCGTGTCGTGTCCTTTTGCGTTTATCCGTAGGTTTGCGTGTATACGCGGTAATGAGATAATTACAGGGGTCCTCGAGACATGATGACACTCAGCAAACAGCTGGAGATTACCTAGGTACCGAGACCGACCCTCATGCCGCAGCGAGAAGCAACCCAACAACAGCCAGCATCTGATCAGGCCCAAGGTAACATTTTGAGTGTTTGCCATTGGTTGCGTCGCAAATACGTTTTCTTTTTGGTTCTGCTCAACTAGGTAGGTTTGCCAGGCACTAAATAAGTCCATGCCATGACTGCACTGCACTCAGCACTGTGCTGTATGTACCGTCGTTAGTGCAGGCAGCCTAACACCTAAGGTACCTAGCCGTACCGCTTTCACGGGCCAGTTCTGTTTGCAATCAAGCATTCAAATGTGATTGATGATGGATGGACGGTTACACATAATTTCTCTCGCGAATATCTCCTGCAAAAAAATACTCTATTGTCCTCCCAACCTTTTTTTTGGCTTTGATCTCTTCTGTTGTCATGTTTCTGGTCATCCATCGTTGGTTGGCCTTTATTGTTTTTTAGTTTCCATCTTTTTTAAATTATTTGCTGGCGTGTCTTGGGTCATTTCATCCACTTTTCCTTTTCCTTTTAGAGTTCTCCTTTTTAGCGCCGCACGCACGCACTACCAGCCATGGAGGAGGCAGGCTCTCGGGCCCAATCAGCTGGATTGGCCTGGCTTGAACAGTGTCAGGCCTTGATGGAAGCCAGCAAAGCCAGTTGGCCCGCCAGGCCGATACTGAACAAACCTCTTCAACTGCAGGAACTGGAGGCAAAAGCCGACGAGTTGTATCAAGAGCTTGAGGGAGTCGACTCGGATGACGAGGACAGCGAGGCCCAGCGCCAAGCAAAACAAGAGTCGTTGGTAGCTCTCGAGAGAGAGTTAAGGCCGCTTAAGACGGACTGGGACCGCACGTGCAGGGATGCTCATGTGGCGTACCGCCCCGAGGACGAGATGAAAGCAAATTCTCTCATGAACAACTTCTTCAACCTTTATAAAGATTTCGGCCTCCCCATCAACGGCAACATGGGCGTCGACACTTCGGCCCTAGGTCTCCCTGGAGATTCGCCTGATGCTGATCCGGACACACCGCGCAGGCCGCGAATGCGAATGAAGAGGGGAGGGGCGGTGCTCACCCCAGATCGTAATGGAGTTTTTGAGGTCCGTCCGATTGATTGATTCCTCATTCTCATTCTCATCATCAGCCATCGCTTTGTGCTTACGCGTGCGCCCTCATCGTATGCTAACTTTACCCTCATTTCACAGCCAGAGACGCGTAAGAAGAGGAAGCGAGGCCCCAGCTCCGCCATTTCTCACAAGCGACCGCGCATTCAAGGTAACAGAAATTCCATACATTTCAACGCCGTCTACCAAAACAGACGCGCCGCCAAGAAGCACACCATTATCCGGGTCCCCGAGCACGAGGATCCTGTGCGCCCGCCCAAGTTTTACATCTTACGCTGTGAGCATCACGACATCGACTTTAACGACAATCCATTACAGTCCGGTTTGGCCCATTTATCAGAAGCCCATCCCCAGCATGAGGACCCTTCATTCGAGACTGTTGTTCAGCACTTTGGTTATGAGGTTATTGGCTGCGACGATGAAAAACTCATTCAAAACAACAAAGTCGCCACGGAAGCCTTTCAAAAAGGTGACAGAGGAGCGCGAGACTTTATTCGAGTCACTGATTCGCCTTCACCCAAGACACCGCGTAAGAAAGCCAGCAACGCCGCGAAAAAGGGCCGGTCAAGTCGCAAGTCCCGCAGCGCATTCAATCCTCGCGACTTGGTTCCTGGAGATGTCTACATCATCTACTGGTCCTCATCGAAACAGTGGTATTGTGGTCTGCATATCCCCTTGCAAGATCCCGAATCCGTTGGCATAGAAGAATCCCTCGAGGCCTTGGGGCTACTTAACAACATACCGCCTTGCTATGAATACGACACCTCCAGCAAGTCATTCTCCTGGGCAGAGGGTTATGAAGATGGCGGGGAGGACGCTTCAGAACAGCACTTTCCATTCATGTTCTTTGAGGGCCTTGAGTTTCCTGACCTTTGCCATGTTGCTTGGATTCCCATCGACGAAATTCAACCTTGGGATGAGGACAAGGCGTTGATGATTGAGCATAGCGACCAGGCTTTTGAATATCTTAAGAAGCGGAAGGCAGCACAGCAGCCCAAGCGGTTGGGTTCAAGTGACGAGATTCCAGACTCGGCTGATGATAGTAAGTATCTTGACTGCGTATGAGGTAAGGTTTCTAACATAGCCTTTCTGTAGACTCCACGTCGGATCTTGCTCCTCGGTCACCAGTTGCAGAGTTTTCAACAGACTTTCAACCTGCTCAGAACGCTGAGGCCGTTACACCCAACACAGCTCCAGAAGCTGATGCTGCTGATGAGGCTGATGAGGCTGAAGATGCAGACGTAACTGGGCAGACTGACGAAACGCTGAAGGACACCGGGGGAGCACCTGAAGAAGAACAGTGCATTCTACCAGAGCCTGAAGAAACGCGGAAGGACACCGAAGAATCACCCGAAGAAGAGCAGCAGACTCAAATAGAGCCTGAAGAAACACAAGGCGCCCAGATGGAAACCGAAGAAGCGCAAGACACTGAACTAGAGTCCGAAAACGAGCAGGACGTTCAAAAAGAGCTTGTAGAAGCTCAGAAGGACGCCAGGCTTGAATCTGGAGAAGGGCAGGGCATACTACCAGAGCCCAAAGAAGTGCAGAATAATGCCACGGTGGAATCTGAAGAAGTGCAGAAGGATACCCAAATGGATGTTGAAGAAGCGCCGGGCACTGAACCAGAACCCGACAAAGTCGCCGAGTCACCCGTACAGCCTGAAACCGTCGAAGACGAAGATATCACCATGAGTTTAGAGGAAAGCCCTTCCGAAAGCGCTGCTCAACAGGCAATCGAGGACAGCGAGGATGTCGTAATGGAAACTTCAGAAGATTCAACCCCGGAGCCTCTGCAGCAGAATGACTCTCAGTCTGATAGGGACGATCAGGAGATTATTTTTGATACTCAGGAGGATCCAGCCGAAAACGTGACCTCCGCAAAGGAACCGGAAGAAGTTACGACAGACCGAGTGCAGGAGAGCTCATCTCATGAAGCAAGAGAAGAACGTTTACCCAGTGTCGACTTGGCGGATCTCCTAACTGCAGGCGAGGATCTGGAATTCCAATTTTCACAGTCTGAACAGAGAGAACTCGATCAAAAGCCGACACCTACACCTGTCCACGAGACAATTAGTCCTTCTCGCACAGCAAACGACGTAGTCAACACAAAACAGGAAGAAAGCTTGCCTGCCTCGCCTACGCCTGAGACAACCAGTGTTACTCGTACGGAAAACGATTCTAGTGATGAGACACGGGAGGCCAGTCAACCTCAGCGCTCTTCTGTCGCTACGGAATCTTCAAACGATGAGACTCCACGGCCACGCCTCTCGTACGCTGAAATGGGTCGAGCTTCTTCCTTATCAGAGGGTATTCCAAGCGATGTCGTTGAATCACGGCCGCAGATTCAACCTGCTTCGAGACGAGCTAGATCAGGGACACCGAATCGCAACGCACTCGCTGCGCAGTCACGAATGTCATCGCTATCAATGTCACCTGTTGTATCTCGACCGCCCGCAATGTCACCGCCAGCTACAATACCGTTCTCACCCACAGCGCCGTCTGCCTCAACTCCTTTACAGCTTCCAATGATGTCGCAGCCTCCGCCTTCTTCTCAGTCATCAGTAGTACGCTCACCAACATCGCAACACCCTCCTTCAGGGTTACAGCACCCAGTCTCGTCATGGCCACTGGATAACTCATGGGCATCGACGACACCACAGCGATTAGGAACGTCACCATCATCGGCTCTTGCACGTCGGCCTGCACCATCTCAGCCAATGGCAATTTCACAACCGCCGCCATCATCACAACCTCCAACGGCCAGGCCCTCGACATTATCCCGCCCACCTTCATCTCAACCATCGCCTTCGAAGCCACCGTTCCGTGCCCCTACAGCGCAAATGGAGCCCGCAGCGCAAGTAGCAATGTCTCCTGGACCTGCTGTGTCTAACGGCGAAAAGCCACACAACGTACGGCCGACATCGCAGGTCCTGGCACCACCCCGCCACTCACAAGTAGATAGTCCACTGCCAGAAGATGCTCAGAATCGCTCTGAAGTCTTGAGACATCCTCATGCAGCTCAACCCAAGGCGCCTGCACAGGATTTGAGAAACAGTCCCCGACCTAACCAAGTTCCGTGTGCGATAAAGCCCAAGGCACCATCCAAGCCCACAGTCGAGATTGTCTTGCTTAACCGTCAAGCAGTCGATCAAGCGCGGTCACAGTCCATGACACCTGGACAGCAAGCAGCAGCGACCAGTCCTACACAAATACCAGCAGCTCATGAAGGGCAAATAGAACCTGCACAGATAACGCCAACACCGCCAGTTATGTCTGCTGCCAGACCTGAAGCCCGGCCTGCGCGTCGTCCGCTCCCTCAGGAAAGACCATCACCTAGGCCTTCTGCTTCACCAGTAAAGAGACGCGAAGCTCCCAAGGCCATGCCGTTACCAAAATTGGCTCCCAGTCCTTCCTCCCAGTCTTCTTCTGGGGCCGAGAACACCCCAGTAGCTCAGCCAGAACGACCAGCACAAATACCCTCAGGTCAGCCAACTGCCAGATATGCTTCTCGGCCTACTTCCCCAGTACACCATAACTCACCCCGCTTGCCGCCTATGAATGTCCCTCTAGAAGGACACTATCTCCCCAATACGATGTTAGCCCAACAACAGGCGACTCTATCGAGACCTGGTTCTTCGGGGCATGTTGGGCCACAGCCTATGCCTTCTCCTCGTCTGGCTGCTCGATCTATATCGCGACCCGGCTCTGCATCCCAAATGCAAATTAGATCACAGGCTATGCCGTCTCCCCATCAACTGGCGGCAGAAGTTCAGCGACCTCAGTCCAGTTTCCAAGGGCATCCTGGGTCGCAGCCGATGTACTCTCCCCGACAAGTTCCTGGGGATATTCCTCACCATGCTTCAGTCTATGAAAGGCAGCCAAATCATGGCCCTGCTCCATCACCGCGGCGTCCCTATGCTGTTCCAGTGCAGCCGCCCCCGTCGCCACACCAACCCTTCAGTCATTTTCCCCACCGAAGCCCTGAGATGCAGGGCAATGGTTATGTTTCCCAGCGTCATGCATTAACTGGTACCTTGTCACCGCAGTCGTCAACAGCGGAAAATCAATTACCGCCTATCCGATTATCAAATATCTCTCGTCCTCGATCTGAAGCCCACACAGGTCCTAACATGATCTCGCCGCCTCAGACCGCTGTGGGGGCTCGACCAGGACACTATACAGGACATCAACAGCCTACGCCGCCTATTATGCAATCACCGCGTTTATCTGCGGCCGAGATTTCCAGGCCGCACACGGCAAGCAACATGCGTCCTCCCCTAGCTACGATGTCACCAATCCTAGGGCACACAGAACCGCGTAGGCCAAATTCAAGCTACACTCAAGCCATGCCTTTTCACGCCCCCTTGCCGACCATGCTGCCAAACTATTCGAGCACAGGCTACCAGTCATCAGCACCGTCTGCACACCAGTACGCCCAACCTAATCGTCCACAAGGTCACCTTCGAAGACATTCCGAGAGCGCATGCCAGCCCCAACTCCAGCAGTATGCACTCGCTGGTAGCCCGCAGATAGCAAATTCTACACCACGGTCCTATCAGTCGCATGAGCCTGATCAGGGTCCGAGACGCAATCGGGCTCTAGATCCCTTCCTCCCCGAGCTCTCTCCTAATGTTCGTAAAGCACTCCTGGAGCTAGTTCAAACAGAAAGAGCCGATCTTGTCCCCTGCGACTTTCTCAACAACGACAACAGGTACCGATGCCCTTTTTGCAAGGAAACGACTCCGGAGCCAACAGCGCTTATCAATCACATCAAGATGAGCTGTCCAATGCTGGAGGAGACGTATAAGCAGGACAAGAATGAGCAGGCCTTTGAAGCGAATCGGGGCAAGCGAGTCAAGCCAGTTAAGAGAAAGAGTCAGATGGCACAGGTAGCCAAGAATGCCCGAGTTCGGAGTTGATTTGTTTATTATTGATGTGATAATCCAAGGAGATATCACTTTGCGAGCCTGGAACGAATGCCGTGGATATTGGCTGAAGCATTTTTTTGCTTTTGATTAGTACAACCGCGAGTCGGTGTTTTTATTATTTGCTATTACAAAAGTAGATGCTTGATCTTGATAGGCGTGTTGAAGAAGAATTGTGGAAGCATAGGGAAGACTTTAAGCTAGTCTTATGGATCAAGAGTTCACATAAGTACTCTAGAGTTGGTAATTTATCATGAATCAGTTCTCGTAACATATTCGCCCCTACCATCGTGATTGAAGGCTTTACTCGTCACTGATTCTCTGACATCTAATGCTGTCACTATGAACACTAGACTTTTGCTGGGCATCTTCGATTATTAACACTAATTGGCTAGGAATATGTCATTATCTTCATGGCTTGGTCGTCCCAACATCGGTCGTTACGCGAAATCCAGTTACATTATTCCATGCCTTCACTTCTCGTCTGTTTTTGTGACATTCACTTCTCCGCCCTCGATACCAACAGCGTCGAAGCCCATCTGTGCAGTATCGTATCCATTGGCCTGGAGGTATTCGCGGAACTTTTGATCTTCAACGGTGATAGTGTCCTGTCCAACGTGGGGGATGAAGAAGAACACGATAAGAGCTGAGAGGATGCAGAGACTGGATGAGACCCAGAAAGGATACTGGGCTGACTCGGTCTTGTTTCCTCCAGCAGCCTGGATGTAGGGAAACACATAGGTTCCGACGAAAGCACCAATCTTGCCGACGGCAGCAGCGATACCGTAGTAGCGGCCACGGACACCAGTGGCACAGGTCTTTGCAGCGAGAAGACCGATATTGTTTCCGGGACCGAGTTCACCAAGAGCTTGGAAGATTCCAAAGACGACGGCAAAAGCCGCAATCTGAGTGGAGATCTTGTCGTAAACACCAGCCATGATGAAGCCTACAAGGGCTTGGAGAGTAACACCGAGGATGAGAGTGTATCGAGGGCCGATCCAGTCACTGACAAATGCACCGATAAGAGTACCTGGCAGGTAGAACATGTTGATGACGGTGTTCCAGCCAAAGACGGTGGTTAGGTTTGCGCCATCGCCATAGATACCGGCAAGAATCGAGGAGGAGTAAATACCAAAGGCGTAAGAGGAGAACTAGTCGTGTTAGCAAAGGGTAGAATGTAGTGTCTTGGAAACTTACGTTGTAGAGGAACCAAACCAGGCTGACACAGAGGAGACGGAACCAGTAGTAACGCAGAACCAGCGTGTATGGTGTTTGGCGTCTCATCGACTCCTTGGCGAACTCCTCGGGCTCTTTGAGTCGAAGTCGGAGGACGAACAGGACAAGAGGGAAGACAACTCCAATGCCGAGACTGGTTCTCCAGATGGTGCTGTAATGGCCGTTATGGCATGCGGCGGCAACGACGTCTATTGAAGGTTAGTTATTGTTAGATGGGGGTTGAGTTTTAACGTACAAGGGACGAAAGCACCAATCACGAAGCCAAAATCGATCATTGAGTTTGTGAAGAGAATGAACCAACGGTTTCTGGTTCCTTTCTTCATCTGACCGCTGGACTCGGCGCATCCGACACTACCAGCTGGATATTCACCTAGAAGCCATTAGTACCAGACTCATGCATTCAAGAGTTGTATATCTCACCTCCGATACCAATACCGACGAAGAATCGCCAAGCGGTGAGCATGTTGAACATTCCGACTGCCTGTCCATGCCAGTAGGACCCAGCTGCCAAAGCAGTGAAAATGATGAGAATAACAGTCGAGACCATGAGGGTATTGGTTCGCGACCAATGATCAGCAAGGAAACCAAAGACAAGCTGGCCAACGACTGTTCCAGCGAAGGCAATGTCAGAGACGTATTTGAAGGCATTTGAGTTGGCATAGACATCTCCATATTGTCGTTTCAAGGTGGTGTTGACGGAACCAATGACCTACTCGGGTTAGAAATGGAGCATGGGATATTCACAGCGGTTCTCACGTTGTTGATGTAGCCATCTGAGAAGAGACCAGCACCGCAAGCAAACACTGGGAGGGCGGTCTCCGTCCAAGGCCTTTGAGGGATGTCATCTTGAGGCGTGTGCACTTCATCAGAGGCATCGGCCTCGCGTTTCTTCCCGAACCCCAGCATCGTGGATGCGCAAGGATGTATTGATCACAGGTGATAAGGTTTTGGTTGTCGTGGGGAGTCACAGTTATAAGAGAGCGGGAGCCAAAGCCACGGGTCACGTTCAGATCTGACTAAAACGCCAAAGATTGGTGATGCCTCGGGTCAGGAACAGACAAAAACAAAACAAAAGAATTGACTCGGTGTCACAGGATTTCTAGGACTTAAGAGAAAACGGGGGGCATCCTCGTGGTGGAGCAATCAAATGGCTTCTTGTCAGGGACTGGACTGAACTGGGAGATAAGGTCTGGCGTCAGTGGGACAAAAACTGGGCACTGAGGGATTGACCCAAGTTGTTTTGAGAAGCTGGTAATGTTGCACCAACGAATCATTACGTACACGAGACTCGAGAGGCCAACATCATAGGAGAGAGAGTCCGGAGGTAACCGAAACGGACGGCACTCGGCGCGTTGGACCAATTGACTTTGATGATGCACATGAATCCCTCGATGTCGATTTATTGCCGAGTTTGGTCGTCGGTGGCGCCAAGTGCGTCCTCTGCTCGGCTCAAAATTGCCGATGGGCCTGTCAGAGCGCCCACTAGCACTGATATGTCAGGTGAATACGAATACCTACCTACCTGTCAGTTATGTATTACCGCTCCGGCGCTCAGCAGTAGTTGGTGAGAGACCCAGTATTAGGAGGAGATTTCAGATTTCACCTGGGGGAGGGTCACAGAATGGCTGGGGAAGAGGAGACACCGTCGTGGAGTTTTATGTAACTAGTGGCAAGCCAATCTTGATCAAGAAAGTCGATATCCCTAGATCCCTGAGAGAATGAGTGCCATTGAGTAAGCGGGGATCAATTGATATTGCTGCTGATCAATTACTGCAAGGGTTAGTGCATCATGCATGTGATTGATTGTTGGTGATGAGAGATTGGGCACACGAGCAATTCCTGCAACAAGATTTCATGACAGGCACTAATGCACCAGCTTACGGGGCATTTGGTGTACATAAGTCCTGACTACTCCAGCACAATCATCAAATAGAAGCGCCTCTATAGCTCAGTGGTAGAGCGTTGCACTTGTAATGCAAAGGTCCATCGTTCAATCCGGTGTGGAGGCATTTATTCATTCATCTTTTGCCATTTTGAGCAAACTGCAACCAGCACATCAATCTATTTTCTTTTTGCCCAGCTTGCGTCAACTATAGAGTTTTAGCTTTTTTTTTCTACTTTATCACTTTATTTTATGCATCACCTCGGAGCAATTAGAACAAGGTTTAGGTTCACAGCCACAACATACAGAGAGTGTACCTAATAATTCCACCTTCATGCGAGGCGCATATAATGTCTCATCGGTCTAATGCCTCCATACTTGAATGCACATCAGACATCTCACAGAGTATACACCAGCTTTCCTCCCGAAACCTTGTTCGCCCTCAATTCATCCAAGCCCTTCAAAATACCCTCAAAACCACTACCGCCGCGGTTGACAAACGTCTGGGGAGCCTTTAGCTTGCCCTCCTCAAGCAACTGTCGGCTAATCTCCCAGAACTTCTTTGCAAACTCAAATTCTTCAGGTTGAGCAGGAGTCTCCTGTCCCTTGAAGAATCGCTCGCCAAAGATGGAATACATGAGCGTGACATAAGGTCCATCGACATTGGGGTTCACATCAAGCAACTGCTGCTTGTCGACTGGCAGAAGAGTAGCATACTTGCCGCCCTCGGTGCTGATAGCTCCAGCGCTAATGGCGACGCCTTGCCCGGTGCAGTCCCAGGCGAGCTTGAGGCTATTGTTGGTGTACTTACGAATTTCCTCAGCGACGTTGGGCGACTTGTAATCAAAGACAGCCTCGGCTCCGAGGGACTTCAGATAGTCGAAGTTGTGAGGAGAAGCCGTCGCGATAACCCTGAGTCCCGAGAGTTTGGCGAATTGGATGCCGTAAATGCCAGTTGCAGTGCTACCGCCGTAAATGAGGATAAACTCATCGCTCTTCTTGCCCTCAGTGGGTAGAGGCAGTCCTAGAGTCTTGTAGAGGCCTTGGCCCTACGTCGGTGGTCAGCATTTATGCTTTTTACTCACCAGATAAAACTTACTACTGTGGCAATAGATATACCGAGAGTAGCAGCCTCCTCGTCAGTAACGTTATCGGGCGTCTTGATCTGAACATCTCCCTTTGCCACGATGTACTCGGCAAAGCCTCCGTTCTCGAGCTGAGTTGCATCACTAGATATGGTCAGATGATTTAACCAAACGATACCCAAATACTGACGCTCCATGGACGACACCGCTGATCCGGTCGCCCTTCTTGAAAGACTTGGTGACCTTGGGGCCAACTTCCTCGACAATGCCAGCGTAGTCACATCCGATTCTAGAACCAGGTAGAGTGCGGTCAAAGTCGATATGCTTCCAGTCGGTGGGGTTCAAGCCAACGGCATTGACCTTGACGAGGATGTAATCGTCTCGGAGCTTGGGCTTCGAGACCTCTTGGATAGTGGCCTTGCCCTTCTCAACGAATACGATGGCCTTGATAGTCATGATTTCGGTTTCTGTTGTTTTAAAGCTGCGGTTCTGTGAGTAATTGTAAGACTTGCTGGATCAACACCGTCAAGATAGAGAAGCTCTTGAGAACCTTTATACCACTAAATGGCGTCATGGTAGTGGAACTCAGAATAGTGAGTATGCGTCATTGATTGGCTGCTTGGACTTTAGCTTGGTGTTTAACGCTATCCCCACGGAACGCCGATTACCAATCTACCTTAGCTTGATAATCTGCGGGGGCAACGCCGAAGCTCGGAATCCCTTGTCTACATAACTTCCTATGATTTGACTTTAGGGGAATTGGTGATATCATGGTGTTACTCGTATGGAGT